GGGAAATTTTTTTTTTTTTTTGGGGGGCCCCCCCCCCCCCCCCCCCCCCCCCTTTTTTGGGGGTTTTAATGGGGAATTAGGGGGGGGTGTTCCTCCCCCCGAGGGGGTTTTTAAATTTTTTTTTTTTGGCCCCCTTTTTTTTTTGTTCTCCCTTTTAGAACCCCCCCCACCAAGGTTGATTTCGCCCCCCTTTAACCCTTTTTTTTTGGCCCCACCCCTTTTTTTTTTCTTTTTAAAAAACGGGCCCCCCCCGGGGGCCGGTTGGCGGGGGGAACCCCTTTTTTGGGGCCTTCCCGCTCTTGGCCCCCAAAGTCTCCGGGGGCCCCCCGGGGGGGGACTTTTTCCCTTTCCCCCCCCCCTTTTTTTGGGGAGGGGAGGGGGGGGGTTCCCCGTTTTTGTAATTTTTTTAATTTCCCCCCCCCCCCCCGGTTTTTTGATTGTTCCCCCCCCCCCCCCCCCCCCTTTCCTCCCCCCACCGGGGTTTTGAATTTTGGGGGCCCCCTTTTTACACCCCCCACCCGGGGGCCCCCCCCCCCCCCCCCCCCCCTTCCCCCGCTCTCCTACAATGTTAGGTTCGTGTCGCTGGTGCCTAAGATCGAGATCGCAGATGGCGACGACCAGAGCGAAACTGTGGTGTCCTGGCTCTTGATCGTGCTGAGCCTGACGCTGTGGTTGATGGCGTTCATGCAGTGTTTCTTGGAGGTGAGAAGTTACCGTATGTCAGAAACGAACCCCGATCTGTCTCTGGCCTACCATGGTATTGATTGTCTACCCTTAACCTACACACTTCGGGGGGTGAGTGGGATTAAGCAACCACGAGTCGCCAGGAACATGACTTTACCGAATGGGTATGGACATTAGAACCGAAGGCGGTTATGGATATTCCGCACCGTATGTACCGGTATGGGGATGGTTCGCGACCGTTCAAGCGATCGAATGTGTGCTTGAAGCTCCACACAAGCGAAATGTTGATTTTACGCACGAACCAGTATTAACGATTGTACCACGGCAGCAGTGGACGTCTCGGGAGCGCGAACGAACCCCGCATATCTCTAGACGCCAGAACACCAAACACGTGACCTAACCCTCTTTCTCGCCTATCCTCCTGCTCGAAGGTACGCTCGATTAACGCCGCCAGCGGCAGCCGGTGGGACTCGGGAGACACTTCTTCGATCGCCAACCTCATGGGCAACGGCGGCTTCTCCCGCAGGAGCGGCGGCGGGGCCGGGGAATACAAATCCGACGGAACAAGCAGCGGCTACAAGAACTTCTCCCCTGAAGACCACCACAACACCGGCCACCCGGCCGACTTCTACGACTTCACTAACGCCCACTTCGGAGGGAGCAGCAGTGGGGGCAAGAGCAACACCAACAATGCCAAGGGCGGGCCGGCGCTCGGAAGTGGCGATGGGGGGGGTAAGCACCACGAGCATCACACCGGCGGTGCCGCCGCCGCCACCGCCGCCGCTGCGGGGGGCGGGGGGGGTAAGTTGCACGCGTGGGGTACGTCTCCTGGGGGCACCGCAGATGGGCGCGCCTCGGGGTACGCCGACCCGGTAGTGCTTCGTTTCAACGACGGCATGAACGGCGGCGATCGAGGCGGAGGAGGAGGGGGCGGGGGCGGGGGGGCGACGGCCGCGGTTCAGTCCTCCACGAGCAACCAGAGCCAGAGCAGCGGCAACACGTACGGCCCGCTCACGGCCAGCATGGGCGAGGAGACGAACAGCAACAAGTTCCCGGCGATAAACTACGCCGATGACGGCGTCGCCGACTCGCCTACCATGGCCGAGGAAATGTTTTCAAGACGCCTAGGTGGTGGCGGCGGCCAGCCACAGCAGCAGCAGCAGCAGCAGCAACAGCAACAGCAACAGCAGCCGACGACGATCGGGAGCGCGATGATGTACTCAGCGGACTCGTCGACAATGGCCGAAGACATGTTCGCGAGGCGGCTCGGAGGTGGGGACGGCCGGCCGCCCAGCGGAACCGGCGATGCCACGGCGGCGGCGGCGGCGGCGGCGGCGGCGGTGTTTTCGGGCATCGACGAGCACGGGGGTGAGGAAGGCGGAGGAGGAGGGAGATCGCTAAGGCTCAGCCCCGCGGAGCCCATGGCGAACGCGTTCCCGGCTCCCATGACGAACGCCTTTCCCGCCTCCACGGACACGCCCGAGAGCGAGCCTCCCGGCCGCGGGGGCGACCCCGGGCGAGAATCCGACCACCGAACGAAAGCTGCAGTAACCCTGTCCCCGAGCCCGGCTTCGTCCATGCACCTCCGGGGTCCGTCGCCGGCGGCGGCAGCCTCCGAGATGATGATGCCGATGACTTTCGTGGAGGGGGAGGACCCCGCTGCGGTGGGCGGAGGGAGTGCGGCGGCGGCCGGTGGTGGTGGTGGCGGCGGAGGCTTTTGAGGGGGCGGGGGCAGGTGGGGGGCGGCAGGAGGCGGCGTGTGCGGCGACGGCAGTCGATAGCTCCTTGGGAAGCAAAGCGAGGAAAAGCGAAGCGAAGCAAAGCGAAGCAAAGCCGCACGCTTCTTGTTGGTCGATCTTGTTCGTTTACAGCGTTGATGCACTAAACTTACAGGAGTATATTTTTACCCCTTTTTGGACCTTGTTACCTACGAGTCAGGTGTTAACTTTCCTACCGGACGAGATCTGATGACATGATGCGGGATCGGGTCGCACGTGGCACTCTCTAGATGCGTGCATGCATGCCTCCTTTCATTGTTGACGCGAGAATGGCTCAGCATCCCCTTCTCCTACTCGCGCTTGGCACGCACGGTATGCTTGAGACCGGAGTACTCCTGGTCAAGCCACTGGATAGAGAGAAGGGGCAACTAACTCGCTTCGCGTCATTGTCGTTCTTCATTCGTTGGTGGTGACAAAAAAAATGCAATGTATTTTATCCCATGTGTGATCCTTTGCAAGAGGCCCTCCGGGGGACGCGATTTGAAAAGCAATCGATTGGCGTATGCCTAGGTAAATTCTGGAACTGAAGAGCGATCGTTTTTATGTTTTTGATTCTGGGTGCTTCGACAACATCGGCGGGGCCTCAGCGGCCACCCCGGGCCCCCCCGCGAAGTGTAGAAGGTTTTGATTTTTCAAGAACAATGCGGGTGGGTGCGATCGTTTTCCAACATTCGCGGGTCCCCCCTGTTCGCTTTTTTTTTTATTTGTGTGGAGTCCTCCTGCGCGAGGTTACGTTTCCGCCATTCATGACCCCACCAGCAGTCCTACCATCACTACTTGGGTTTTTGGTCTTTTTAATAATACAGAGACGACTCTGTTCCTCTGGCCGTTTGGAAGCGTACTATAGGTGCTCGAGGCTGAAGTGATCTCGCGTGTACTACTACCGTGGCAGGGCGTGTTTGTGTTGACGCTGGGGTAAGAGGAGGGTGTGTTGTTCGTGTGTGTACAATAAAATGGGAGGGGGGTCGTTGTTTGACTGTGTGGGCGTGGATGTTGTACCTTTGTGGAGAGGACTAGCGGGTTGTCCCCTCTTGTCTCTGTCTCTCTGTCTCTCGCAGAAAAAGGGATTCAGCATAGTGTGAGCTCAGTTGCGTGTTGGATTGTCTGTTGATCTCCCCGAATAGGCTGACTAGCGCGGTGTAGGGGAGCGTAAGGTAGGGATCATTTAACACATGAGAGAGAAAGAACGGCGGGCGGCAGACACGCGACCGCTATTTGCGCGTGCAATTTTGTGGTGAAAAAAAAAGAGAGAGAGAGACATGTCTGTACTTGATGTCGTCCGTGGGACATGATGTGAGCAACAAACCCAACGACGATGTTGGCCTACATCGATAGAAACCCCATGGCGCCAGTAGAGGCAGTTTTTGCGTGTTGCATCTGTTTTCAGGCCTTTATATTCAGTGCTGTTTACTTACTTTGGTGGTTTTTTTTTTTCCAGCAGATCAGGCGGCCAGGGATAGAGAGATGATTGGGCGGTGGCACAGCAGCAGCTGTCCTTTCAGTTCTTACGAAAGGAGTTGTGCTGGGTCAGGGATGTGGTTATATGTAGGTAGCCCCTTTTTTCGTTGTTGGCACGGTTTCCTCTGCACACAAAATGGGCAACCAGCGTCGTCTCAAGCCGTGCGGGGGGGGGGGGGGGGGGTCCAAAATTCGTGTCCTGGAGGCATTGTTTAAGATTCTCCTTGCCGCGGAGCAGAATCTGTTGGCTTGTCTGCCAAGGACAAGAAGTATGTTTGTGTCTCCTTGCGCTTGTAGTCATGTCTTCCACACACTCGCTCACTCTACGTACACAGTATGTGTTGTGCGTGTCCGTGCCGAGCCAGAGTTTCCCATCTTCGGCTTGGTCTATCTCTCCCGTGTCAGCGACGATAGCGGAGTAGTACCGTATTTGGGAGCTATCTGGGGACATGAAACCCGTTAGTCAAAGCCAGGGTGTGCTGATCGAAGGCGGGGGTGGGTGCGATGAAGGAAGGGTGGTAGAGTGTTCTTGTGTTATCTTGTGATAGCGGTTGGTGCTCTGTCCCGGAGTGTAGGTCCAAATTATTGCAGGACGAGACGGCGTTCGTTCTGATGCCAGTACGTGTCGTCACCACATGCTGTTAAAATGATCATCGAAACGTCCCTTGTAGTTGTAAGTACTTTGTAGGCTTCCAGACTACAACTCTGGGAAGCATCGCGGGGGGGGGAAGGGGGGGGAAACCTTCGTCGTGGATTGCATTTTTGTGCTGTTGGGGTTGTCGAATAGAGGACGTTGTTGTCGAATGTCGCATACAGTAGAAGGAGCAATAGCGGCTAAATTACAGCAGGTGTTTTTGTTGTTTGGCGTTTGGCGAAGGGGAGCGAGCCTGGTTTATCGCAATCGTCGGGGGAGGCTAGGATTTGACTGGTTTTATTTTGTCCACGTATGGCACGTGATTTCGCTTGTGTTGTAGTGTCTGACCCGGAAAACAACGATTGGCGGAAGAAGAGTGGGCCTGGACGATGCTGATTGGTTGGATGGGTTCATGGGCCGCAACGCGTGTGTCTTGATGTGTTGGTCGGAAGAAAGTTTGGGCTTCCGGGCCCTGCCCGACAGCGACAATATGTAATATTCTTGGTTGTAATATGTTGTGAGAACGTGGAAAACGCTGAACGAACGGTGATTGTTGGACAGTTTTCATGCCGGTATGACGTACCGTACCGTACCGCACCGTGCCGTACCGACAACCCCGTGTCGGCTTTCGTTGTTTGGGGTAGCCGCGTATGTATGAACTTGGTGACATGAGCTTTTGAGGAGGAGTGCGGTAGAGGCACGAAAGAGTTCAAGGCTTTTTTAAGTCTGACGACGACAAGAGGTTAGGGTGAAGGCTTTACGGGCTACTATAGCTACGACCAGAGGAAGGAAGGATAGGTTAGGGTTGTATGCGTAGTAGTCGCTACGGTTGATGGTCGTAGTTGATCCGCACAAAGAAGCGAGCGAGTATGTGTGATGTTAGTCTTGCGGTTGGTGCAACAGATGGAGCCCCCGGTTAGTTTGTTTGGCTGTTGAGGGGGAGTTCTGTGTGCCCGTCAAAGAAGGAAGTGTTGTGCTTGATGTTTCAGCGGTAGAGGAGAGGGCATACGCGGCACAGCAACCCGAGTTTTCTTCACCCTTCACCCACCAAGATGAAGCAATGAAAACAGTATTTCCCCAACCACAACAACGTAGAATATTACGGCCGCCCTTTCTCTTGTGGATGTGGCGCATTTCTGTGGCCACGGCTATGGACCATGAACCATAAATCGAACCACCCGGCGCAGCGTCACGCACTGCTTCGCGGTGCAGTAGTGGTCCCGGTAAATGCCGGTTTCCCGGTATAATGCCGTTTACATCGTCTGTGGATCGCACCGGCATTATACCGGGACCACTACTGTGTTGCCAACGTGTGCATATCACATTACACACGGATTCCCACACAACTATGTGCCGTGCACGGTACACGGTAAGACCTCTATGCCGGCCTGGGAATCGCAGAAAATTGTGAAAAGAAGTGGATTTTTTTTTCCCCTCTCGGTCAACGCGACTTTTTCGAGGGTAGAGCAGTTGCTCCGTTCCCCCACTGTACTCCAACAAATACACCACGCATCTAGACGATCTGACATAAACACCAATCACAGCAGTCCAATGGAACAGGGTTATTTTTCACGGCTCGCTCAACCGTTCAACGTACTCTCGAGGTGCTTGCCTGTCCCTCGGGAGCGTCGGCGCACACAAGCTTCACACGTTTACGACCTCAAGAAGAACTTAGGGTTGGATATATGCTACCGCAGTCCTCTTGAGGAACTACAGTAGCGCTCATAGCACCTTCTGCCCACTTACGCGAGGGGTCTTCGCAGAGCGCATCCGGACCCCCCCCGTCCGCAGAGGGGGCACCGTGGGTTCCGATAGCCATAAAAAAATCACTTTGATCGATGCTTTCCAAGTTGGATTAATTGCGCCGCGCGGAGGATACTCCTTGACCACCACACAGGTGGGTTCACTAGCTCAAGTGACAGGAAACATGAAGCGCACAACAACTTGCGACTTGAATGAATAGCCAACAGTTTTTCCATTGCCGCACCTCACGAGACGCAGATTTACCAATGCAGCCAAACTTTCTTTCGCATGCACTGGGACACAGTGTCCTTCCCGCAGCGGTATTTCTTGCTGCTGGTGGTGGTGGTCTACAGTGACGATACATGCGACTGCACCACTACCATCAGGAAGACTAGACTTGAGCAGGCAAGCCCACAGCACGTCATGTTGGCACGACAAAGCCAGGCCACACGAAACACATGAGGTCATCAAGGGTCCCTGCAGGCTTGAAAGCAACACCCACGAAAGAATGCACCGTGGTCAAGTTACACACCTCCTTCTCCCATGCACAAGAAGAGGCAGACTACCACGAAAGCTTGTCCCAGGTATCCCCTTGTCAATACCATACATCGAATGTGCCGCACGACGAAAACGCCGCAGCTATACATGGCTACTTTTCTTTTTTTCTTCAAACAACGGGGACACACACATCGTTGGCACCCTTCAGGCACTTTCTGTCAGTCTTTTGACAATCCATGTACACGTCCACCGACCATCTCAAAGCCACTCGCGCCGCAAGGCTGGCCTGCTTTCGCCGGAGCTCCAAACCCCGCGTTCCATCGATTAGGGACTAGGTGCGGCTCGATTTTTGCCATTTCGACGAACCTCTCAGCATTGCCTCGAATTCCGCCGCCGTTTCAACGCACCTCACAACACTGCCTCTGCCCTCCCGCGGCACAACCAATCACATTTCTTCCCGTTGCTTTCACGGAGAATGAAGTAGTATCAAGTATTATATACACATCTCTCAACTCGGCTCGAGGCCCGTACAGCAACATATGCCTCTCCGAAACGAACTTGAAACCACATCTCTATTTACACTACGAAAATCCTGCACGAAGAATCTCTCTCACACAGAACAGACCCACAACACTCCTACAGATACAAGTAGATAACTAATAGTTTCTTCTTTCACTATTTTTTTACTATATGAGTACTTCCGGAAGTTCGTCACTACCGCACCCATGTAAAAAAAAACACCCTGTAAAACGTCCCGCATTGCCCCAAACTGAATGCCGCCGTCGGAGTGTCGCTATCGGCGGCTGCTTATGCTTGACATGTCCCGAACAAAGCGTAGATGTTCCATTCCACAAAGCACGCACACACGCAACACTTCTCCACCACCAGATCCCTCGAACAACACGCAAACCTCCCTTCCCCTCCTCCGCCCACACCCAAGTCGATAGAACTAGTTCCCATCGTCTCCCTCGTGCAACAGCAGCATGTGTGTGATGAAGATCGGTGTGAGGACAGTGATGGGAGCGCGGCCTTTCTTGAGCAGCCTATGACACACACGTGTCCCGTGCCGCCAAGCTAGGTCACGATTTTGACAACACGGCCTCTCTCTCTCATGCTCTAATCTTGTCAGCAGGAAAACGCAGCGACCTCCGCGCTGTAGTAGCCCTGCCACTGGTCGAAGAATATGGACGGGGCTAGGTGTTCTTGGCGGGTGTTCTGCAGCCGCCCCGCCGAGCGCTCCTCCAACCAGATGTCTTGCTTGGCGACTGGTGTTGACCAATAAAAACGAGGGGGGGGGGGGGGGGGGGATCGAGTATAAAAACAAGCGGCTTCCAGTTGTGAGGGAAACGGAGATGAAAGGACGAAAGGTGGGAAAAAGACGGTAGACGACACCAGTGAGTGGGGTGTACGGAAAAACGAGGTGCATCTTTACGGTAGTACTTAGACAAAAAAGCAAGCTCTTCTTGATCACACACTGTTGTTGTGCATAGTGTTGGCACAGCCATTCGAAAACATGAAATCCATCGCCACAAGTACGTACTACTCGCAGTCGACCGGACTTGTTGCCAAAAAAAAAAGATAACCAATAAAGCTCCTTGTCTCGTCTCTACATGTCATCAACGCACGAGGACCTTACTCTGTGAGCTGTTCGACCGTTTTTTCACTCCTTCAAATCAATGAATTATTCAGAAGTCCTGTCCTCCTGATCGCATAAACAGCCATCACATGTCGAGTGCGCATGTCTTGGTTGTGGGAGTAGGGGCGACCGCGCTATTAAGAATACTACCGATTGGATGTTGGATGGCCGATCAATTGAAAGACGTACGTCAGTGTGGGTGCAAGACTACTTGTTCGTGTTGAACATAATGTGCTTGTTGCAGTTCCACGAAGCTCAGAAACGACTTGGCTTTTGGGTCCCGACCAATCAGCGCTAGGGTCTGTACGGGTTGGAAACGAAATCACCATGTGGTCGTCGCGGAATCGCGGGCGATTAACGACAAGGTCTTGGGGGTTGGGGAGCGGATATCGACGTTAAAGGTGCAGCACGTCACTGGGGTTCGAGAGGAAGAGGTAGGGAGGCTTCGAGGTGAACATGCTCACGGGAGACACACGGGTCAGAGGTGCAACATCTATTTGAACATGATCCGTACGAACTTCTACAGCATCTTGAAGTACGTACGCATGTTTTTTGCGGCAAAACCGCCGATTAGGGCTGCTGCGCTGCTGCTTGTTGGCTGCGGCACTTCCTACAATAGTGAGACCCTTGCATGCTTTGATGGCTACCCCCCGATGGGTTCCACGACCTCACCACCCTGGCTACACTACCGAATCGAAAGACGCACCGTGGAGTTTGTCCCATGCGATGTGTACGAATATGGGATACACGCCCGTCGCGTCGGTCGACGCGCCTGTTAGTTCACCCGCAAACGGTGCCCGACAGACGATGCCGTTCGATGGGAACGGATTTGTTCTACATATACATGCATGGAGGCAGGTTTTGTTGTCATCTATCAGAAGTATTTTCCGCGAGAAACGAGAGAGCGGACCTCCCACCCTCGTACAGCAGCAGTGTTGACGTGGGGTAACGCTACCGCTAAGTCGTGCTCGGGTCTGACCCAGGTGTCACCTCGCTAAAAGGGGATGGATGAACATGAGAGAGCCGCTGCTGATAATAATCACGTGATTCTTCTGCCAGCTCTAAAAAAAAAAGGGCTGAGAAAAAAGTCCGTGCCGCGTTCGCATATCACCACTACCGTTTCTAGGATTTTGTCTGTGCGGTGGGCCGTGCTGTTGAGCGCGTGGGTGAGGCATCAGCGTATCGCTGGACAACGACAGACAACGCCACTTCCGTGGTATGACGCGAGCACGTGCGCGTACGCCCCATGAGGCACAAGCCAAAGGAGCGTGTGCTTATCTCGGGAGGGGCAACGACCCGACGCCTAGCGGACCCCAAGACAACAACGCGAACAACACCATCTGATGTCCATCGGATTTGTTCATCCAGGAGAACCTCAGCGTGGCCATCAACCGCACAGGATTCTTCTCTGTCTCGCCAGCCTGCTACGAGTGCTCTCTGCGAGAGAGAGAGGCATGCCACACATGAGGTGTCGAATGTTTGATTCGGTGGGCGGGGAACAGTTTTTTTTTCTCGACAGCGCAGAGACTCTTCTCCCGCTCACCGCGCTGGTTCTTCCCGCCGACGTTATGCAAAAGGTCCAGCCCGCTCCCATTTCTCGACGCTGCTGCTGACGGAGCGGCGAAGGCCAGGGTGGCTGCGGTGATGCACTTGATCGCTGACTTCGTCATCTCTTCTGTCTTGGTTATTAGCTGATGCGGGAAGGCAGACTGAGTTGGTGAAAAGTGGATTGTGTGTGCCGAGAGCAGGCGGGCAATAAAATGGGGGTTCCGCGATTTGATTTCCCCGTACACAGCAGGTATACCAAATAGCCAAACCAGATTGTGCACGCGGGCAGAGAGCAGGATATGCAAGAACAGCAGGTAAAATTTGGGCGATACACAGAACACCTTCACCCTGTCTCTCACGCCTGGGTCTAGACAGTAGATGGCGCACCGAAAGAGAGCGAGGAACAATGGGGCGAGGGCCAAGACGTGGTTCCTTGGGGCTTGTGTCATGAACGCGGCAGCGCAAGGCGCTTCGGCGTTCGCCTTTTCCTCGTATTCTGCTTCGTCTTTTTCTCTCCGCGGGCAAGCCGATCCGGCCTCCAGAGGTACCGTGCTGGCAAAGCAGGCTGTAGCGCCGGCTGGGCGGGCGGAGAACCTGCTGTCGATGAAAATAAAAAAGGCGGGGAAGAAGCCCGTTCGGTCAAGACGGAGTGGGCCTCCTGCTAACGTGGAGGGCTACTCCCACGCTGCTTTCGGTCAGTGTGTATAGGGTTGCTTCGTTCTCGCCCTGGTCGAAGAAGCAGGAAGATTTGATTTTTGTCAACGTCGGCAGAATGTCTACATATGTTGGGCATGTCGCCCGTGAGAGCTACAATGTACCGAGCTGGCTGTGTCTGTGCCTGTATTGTCTTGTAGTGCTGTCTGTTGTGATGCTGGTGCTGACACTGGTGTTAATGACGGCAACGGATGATCATCCCATTGTTGTAGTTGAAGAGAAATGCCGTTCTTCCCACGTGGGCCTCGGGGGTTGAGGTCTGGATTCGATTTTTCAAACTTGGCAACGTTGCACACACTTCCAGATGGCTTCGACATCGCTATGATATGTGTACCTACCTGAACACTGAAACCAGCAGCAGCAGTGCTGACCAACTCTTAGGGAAACCCATACTTTGAACAAGGCTCAAAGGTCTAACTTGCTGTGTCTCCACGATTGAGCACAGGCGATATTGTACTACCAATGCAGTGCCGGCGGCTGGGCTCAATCCTACATGAAGAACATGAAGATTTCCCTACGTTCTCCGTTGTTCCTTTTCAGGTCTCTTGCTTTTTGAAGGTGTTGGGAGGCCTGCGCATCCTCCTTTGCCCCCAAACAACCAATGCACTGCTGTGGTGCTGTGTCGCAAGAGCTTAGTCTTTCTGTGAGGTTATGTATATTTTCTGAAAAAAAGAGCTTCAACGCACAGCAGTCCTCTAATAGGCAACAGCAGCAGTGCTGGGCGTGCCAAAGCCTATTACTCTGTGGGCAACAGCATTGGTGCTGGGCATGCCATCGTTTTTACCCCACCTTTCCGCTGCTGGGCCGGCTACAAGGACGTGCACAGAACAGCAGTAGACGAGTATTCAAGCATTCACACTTTGTAGGAACACGTTAGCTGTTGTCCGATTGTGCTGCAATTATGATACTCCTAAATAGAGGGCTGATAAAGGTACTGGTACCTGCAGCTGTCGGTGCCGCCGCTACATCCGTGATGGTGCACTGGTTACGCTTCTGCTACGTGACAGACATCTTTGGCAGCCTGTTGGGGGCGTGATATGTACCCCGACGGTACAATTTGCAAGCCTGTCTGCAATTGATGAAATGCATCAATGATGAAATACATCAAATCACCTGGCCGTGTTGACTTGACCGGCCTCCCGTCTGCCTTTATGCACGGTTCAGCGTGACGATTAGGCTGGATGATCAGTACTTGTCTGATACCTCATTTTCTATGAGAAGCAGCCCACGGCGAGTGGAGTCTCAGGATTCGATTTGGGTGTTTTGTTTGTTGTGTTTCCCCTCGCGTGCCCGGTTTTGTCGCCACGCGGGCTTGTCCTCTCCACCTCACCATCTAGTACCGTATCTTCCCCTCCTCCCTTGTCCTCTTCCCCCCCACAGTTTGCAGCCGCACTTAAGAACCTGCAGTTGAGAAATTGAGCCTACAACAACTCAAATCCAAGAACTTGAGCACCATTTTATGAGCTCGGTCAGAACCATTACACTAAAACCATTACACTAAGACCTTTTTGGCGGACATTCGTGCGCAGCATAACCCTAGGAACCAAGAACCCCCAACCCCGTCAAAAACTAGATTGTAGAGGTTCTGGAGTGCGGGGGCTTACTGTAGTACCTCTCCTTCCCCTCCCTTTGTCCCCTGCTGTCACCGCGCCGCGACAACCAACCTACCGCCAGTCAAGATGAAGAACGAGGTGGCTCTTCAGGTCGCGACGAACAAGAAGGGCAGCCGCCGCACGAGGACGGTCAACTTTAACGGGGGGATCGACTCTTGCCCTTGTCTCGTGCTTAACGCCGACTACCAGCCCCTGTCCTACCTCCCCCTCAGGCACGTATTGGCGTCACCCGTGCGCACAAGAGGCTACCATTTGCCAGACCTCGGGGAGAAGAAATAGGTCGCAACCTCGAGCTTGTCAAGGAGGATCATATACATGTATCATGTTTCTAGTTTTCGCGAAAGTGACAACCGAGAGATCTTGGCGTGGTCTCTTGAAAACCATGTTGACCCCTTCGAAACTCAGTGGGTGTTGCGGTTGCTTAACACGAGTAAAGACGTTTTTCAGGGTCCTGGTCTACCTGTACGTCATGTTCTGCTGTACACCAGCGTGCTTGTGCGCCATGCTCGCTCTGTTGTAACCCGCCGTTAAGGTGTTGGTTTCACGTTGACGGGCGTTTGATACAGTACCACCCATCAAGTGATGTTGTTGTTGTTGTTGTTGTTGTTGTTGTTGTGGTTGTCTTCACATTCCGGTATCTACTCAGTACCTTCTATTTGTAGCACCCTTAACTGGTCCAACACTACTCGACAACGACTCGCCCATGGGGCTACCGACGCTTCCGTATCGGCTCTGCTTGCACCACCGGCCGCCTCTCTTGACTTCCCTCTCTTCCCCACCCCGCTGCAGTTTGTGGGGATGGCAGGATGTGATCAAGGCAGTGTTCAGCGAGAAGGTTGTCGTGTTGGCCACCTACGGTGACCGTTCCGTTCGGTCCCCCAGCGTGGTGGTACAGCTCCCGAGCGTTATTGCTCTCAAGGTGGGAAGTGAGGGTGGCCGCCGTGCTTGTCTTACTCCAAAGCAAGTGGTTATCCTCCTACAGAGAGACGTTGTCCCGTAGGCGAGTACCCACAGCGGAGTACTGTGTTTTGTGCTGCCTGGGCAGCTTCGACACGGTATGGTTTGTTTAAGAGCGTTTGCTGCGTCGCCCGGGATCCATGCATGTTCCAGGAGCATGTGTCACGCTCAAAAACGACGTAGACGCGTGGTCAGTGCTTTGCACAACACCCTCTTTTGCAATCAATCGAGAGCGCCTCTGGCCTCGTCTGGGCTGTGATCGCACTGCAAATTATGGGGTGTTAATGGATAAGATATAGACCGTGCTGCTTTAGATTGCGAGCAATGTGTTTCTGTTTCCGACGCCAACATTGTCGCCAAGCTGGTAAGGTTGCACTCTCTCTCCCCTCTTTGCACAGCGTGTGCTTGCTCTCACTGATGCACGGAGCTCGACGTCTCTACCCCCCCCACTCCCCACCCCCCCTGCCCGCTCCGCGACACCCCACAGGAATTTGTGAATAATCATAGGACCCACCCACCCTTTACGCGGCGTAACCTGTTCCTGCGCGACTCGCACCAGTGCCAGTACTGCCAAAAGTATTTTGCCCCGCACAACCTGAGCTTCGATCACGTCGTGCCCAAGAAACTTGGCGGCAAGGGCACCTGGGACAACGTCGTCACCGCGTGCGGGAGGTACGTGCTGCTGCTGCTGCTGCTGCTGCTGCGCCGCGCCTGTGTGTCTGTGCGTGTTTGGGTGCAGCAGTTTCGTCATAGGCCGAACGAGGTTGACTCGAGACCTGATTGCTTGTTAGACAGTGAGTGACAAGGCATGAGGGAGGCAACAACAGGAGCCCCACGCGCCATATCCATCATACATACACGAACCCCCGCCGGAGGCCCCGTAGATCAGCGCTCTACCGAACACCCCCAAAACAGAGCGTGCCCTCGTCCTACCCGTGTGGCGAGTGTCCTAGCGACGGGTCGCATGTAGCAGAGCCAAGGGAGATACCTCGATAAGCCGTTCAACGTACCGCACATTGGTTCCGCTCTCCTCTCCCCACCCGACGACGACCACAACCATATTGCGCTGCCGCCGTGCTTGTGCGGGTCTAGATGCAACAACCGCAAGAGCGACTGCCACCCGCGAGACCTCAAGTCCATAGGGATGAGCCTCGCCAAGTACCCGGTCACGCCCACGTTCAGCCAGCTGCAGGCTAAGGCTAGAAGGTACCCGCCCCTCGAAATTCACGAAACTTGGGGAGACTACCTTTACTTCGAGAGCGAGATCCTCGAGGAGGAGGACGGGGGTGACGTGGACGAGACCCCATAGAAAGAGTGGGGGGGTCGTGGGACTTAGGAGGGAGGATTACGGACGTCTGGGGGTGGTCAGGTTGTGCGCGTGGCAGGTAGCTGTTTGGGGGCGGCCGGCCGGAGAAAGGGTGTGTGGAGAGGAAAGGAGCGAGGAAAGGAGGATGCAAATATTGTTTATGTATTGTCAAATAACAAAAAAAATGAGGAGTTTTGAAAGAGTTACCCTCTGGCCCCGGGGAAGGAAAAAAAACGAAGGAAGGCAACGAAAACACACAAGTTCATGCTATGCCAAACCGCATGTTGTAGGCTTTCGTGATGTGTGTTTCGCCAATGAACAAAATGGGTGTTTTTGTATGTATGGAGGAGGTAGGAGGGCTTGTTGGTACGGTGGACGCCAGGACCCCAAAGATTGTAATAACGTTTTGTGGTGGGCGGTAAGGAAATGTATTGGAGTGTCGTGACTGCTGCTGGTGTGTCGCGGCCTGTCTGATTTCGGGCGTTGTTGATATGTTGTATTAAGGACTTTTGAGAACGGGAGTTGCGTCACATGTACGCGGGTGGAGGGAAAGGGGTGGAGAGGAGATTGTGTGTCTGTACGTGGCACAATATATTCCCCTCCCGGATGGCCTCCCGGTTGGAAGAGCAAGAGAAAGCTGATTCACCTCTCTCAGGTGACCGTGTCGAGCTCAATGATACTCGTCGCCGAACGTTTTCAGCTTTGGATTCAAAGTGTTGGCAGGGGTCGCACGCAGGTGGATTTTGGATTTTGGAGCGGCTGTGGCGCTCTTCCCGTGCGCGGGCCGCGCGGGCTAGCGGCGACCAATGCGAGAAAAAACGGGGGGTTGCGTGGTATGTGTATTTTTCGTGGTACCCGTTATTCCTCTGGTGGCTATGTGTGTCGAGAGAAGCACGTTAAGCCCCCTTCAGAGTGGCATGATTCTCCTGCACGTGCTCCTTTGTTTTGGAAAAGCACGTGGCATGATACTTGAGAGTGTTCATCGTTCTGCCGTGCCTGCGAGTTTTCTACTGGTACGAGTTGGCGTCGAGGGTGTTCAAAAGAGGGCGGCCCTGTGCGACGCGAAGTAGGGTATATGCTTTCGGTTACGGGTGCCCTCTCGGTCTCGCCCCGGCCTTGTAATATCCTCGCTTGTATTTTTTTCTCCCCCCTCGCGTGGGGCCACAAAAGCTCTACTGCATCGGAGAAAGCGTGGTTCCTTGGGCGCTTGCGCCGTAAGGCCAGAGAGAGCAAGGTGCTCCAGCGCTGTGTTTCCATCGATGTTGCCTCCGATCGCGCCTCTATACTTTCTTCGTTCGGCATTGTTCCTTGGCCAAGTCGACTGCCGTGAAGACGTGAAGACAGCTAGTTGGATTCAAAAGGGGGCTCAGCAAGGAAGGCACCACCATCGGCCTGGAAACGCGCCAAAAGTGCGGCTACCAAACGACGTACACGAAGCAAATAATGTCGGTGGCATCTCTCAAGCTGTGGTAGGAACCGTCCGGGTTTAGACTACAGCGACAACATTTTCCACAACACTAATCTCGACGGTCTCTGTACCGGGAAAAAACACAAGACAACTCAGCCGTAGAAAGGCACGCCATCGCCGAATCGACTGGCCCCAACTTGGGCGGCCGCCCCGCCGTCACGCGCCCCCTCCCCAGTACGCGCAAGCACGAAGCGGTCCAGGCCCGAGTATCGCGACTTGAATTGTCCCGTGGAGATGCCCTCACAACCTCCCGAAGCCGGGCGCTCCGGGGACCGCTTGTGTGCGCTCTGGGCGCGTCTCTTCTGAAGGCGCTGCATTGCTCTCATCTGCAAGGCGTAGACGCTGTCCAGTCTCGTTCGGTACCTCACCCCCCTGGGGATGGTTCCGGGGCGGCGCGGGCGGGAAAGAAGGATTGTTGCTGCTCCGGCATGTGTATTCGAGGAAACATGTCCACCACTATGTACCTCTAATGACCTTCGCACGGCAACCATGTACACGTAACGTATATGTGTACAGTAGGACGACTCTCGACCGCAGGCTATCGTGAGAAAGGATCGAAGCGCTTGTGTTGGCGTTGGCTAAACAATGTGAAGTCTTCGTGGTGACCACATAAGACTCGGTGATCTAGAACAACAGGCGAGGCTTACCGTCGGGGATGCAGTTGGCGCTATGCCATGATAACTAGATCAATTTTGGGACGGGTGGGAGCAAAACACCTTCTCAGCGACAGCAGAGAAGCTCGATGTGCTTTCACATGGCTACATCGACGAATGACTGCGATCCCCAACGCCTGTTTCATTTTTTTCCCGCTTTACCCGGACAACGCCAATGATAGACACCAACAGCGCGCCCTACAGTAGTGACTCAATGGATATCTCACCGGTCGCCTTCGGCAAGGCTAGCGGAGGCTGGACGGGGCGACGGTTCATGCTTCGGCACCCCCCGGTCGAAATATTCCTCTCTTCGACCACTGCCCTGTGACTTTGGCTCAATCTATTACAACAACGGCGGGGGTCGACATCGCAATTGGGCAAGATGATTATATTTGATAAGGAGGAAGAAAACAAAATCTTCGCAAAGGGGTCCGTTGTAGGCATCGGGTGTGGTAGTGCAGCATACCAGGAAAGGGACATCGTCGGTTGGCAATAGTTGCACCTTGCTGGCGCACTCACTCTATCGTTCGGAGTGTGACAAGGGGAAGGTGAGTGACCGGTCCGGCAGACCCGTCTTCAGATAGACGCTGTGGATGACCCACATTGGTATAATACATTTACAGGTAAGAGAAATCGAGCTACGTCGTTCGTGCTTGTGGCTTTTTGCGCAGAAACCACTTTGCTCGAAACACTCTACTCTGCATGTTTATGGACGAACGCTTGTGAAACCGCGCGTTGACTTTCCTCGCACTCCGACGGCCTCTCGCCTCCGGACAACAAACCCGAAAACGCCGGGCGGAACACACGACTTTTTTTGACGTAAGTACTGTAGTGTACACCTCTCACCTGCTTCGACCTGATTTCACCTCCCCCCTCACCGCCCCACCGCTCTTGTCGCGGTCTGCGGGCTCCCCCTCCCGCGCTCCGCGAAGAAGATGCCGATTGAGGCCTAGCGCCGCTAGGAGGCCGCGAGTCCGCTTTCCGGCGCGCGGACGCAGCTGACTGAGGGCGAGCGGGGATTCTTTCGGCCCCGCCGGCCGCTTCTGTCCCGGTCGCCTTGCCACTAGCTTCCGCTCGAGGGCCACCCGTGGTAAGGTTGCCATCGCCCCGACCGGTGCTTGTGCCGGTTTCCCCTGCTTGCCGAACACCCTCCCTCGAGGGCAACGAGGCAGAGACAGGACGCTTGTCAGCGTCATTGGCCGTCCCTGGGTGGCGAGGGGGGACCGCTTGCGCCGCTCGATTAACTCCATCTTCCGGTCGGTGTTGCCTGTCCCCGGGCGTACTCCGCTGCCGGCCTGCCGCCACCGTCGCCGCCGCTTTACGCCGGGCCGCGTCTAAGGCCCGGCACCTTGCTATCGAGTCGGCCTCCTCCCTCTGTCGTGGACTTGCTCCCGGCGCTCCCCGACTACGGTTTGCGTTAGTAGGTCGACAATCATTATTGTGGCCGCTCATGGTGCCTCTCTCCCTGCCAGCCGCAGAAGCCGGCCTGCTACTCGAGCTACGTCGGTGCTGCTGCTGCTGCTGCCGGCGATTACCCATGTACCGCCGCAGAGCCGTCGCCGATGCCGGTCGTTCTCTCTCTCGACTCGGTGGCCGCGGCCTCGCTGCTGCCCTCCCGCCATTTGCTGCTCCCGAGTCTACCGCGCGGTTGGTAGTTGTAACGCTTGCCGGCGAAACCTGGTCACTCTTGTCAGCGGCCATTATTGCGTCCTCCCGTCTTCGGAGGGCGGCCTCGCGCGCGTCCAAGTGTTTTTCTCTTTCGCGAAGAGAAAATTCGCCGGTGGAACTCTGCCGTGATCCTCCCCGCCCCACCCCGCCGCCGCCGCCGCCGCCGCCGACCCCAGCGCCTTCACTACTTCCGCCGCTATTCGTAGAGGACGTTTCCGGTCGAGCGGCTGCTGCATGCTGCGCCGCCGTCCCAGTTGCACCGGGAGTAGGTACAAGGTCACCGTTGAACACTAGCGGGGAGTTATCGCGCCGCCTCGCGGCGGCCGCCGCAAGGGCCGCGGGCGTGACTGCCGGACCGCCGCTGCGGGCGGCCTCGACGGCGGCCATCTCTCTAGCGGTAGCCGCGACTGCGGCCGCCTTGGCTTTTCGCGCCAGCTCGGCCTTGATTTTCTGTGTTTCATTGCCGTAACAAGGGGAAAACGTGAGGTAAACGGGGGGGGCGGGGCGATACGCCTGACCCTGTCGCGATTTCGCCATATATAATTCGGAGGGTAAATCTACCTCCCTCTGTCGGCCGCCTGAGAGATTCTTGCAAATGGCCAAAGCAGAGATGATACTCGTCACGCCGGATTTCATATTCGAGTCTGTACTGCCTGTGACTTGCTCGCGAGATGGGTTGGCCCCGCCCGTCTCGTCTATAGGAGGGCTAACCATCCCGTGACAAGGATTCTCGCAGCACGTTTGGAACGGCACTATTATTATTGTTGAATATAGCAGTCCGTATTACTTGCGCGGGAAATACAAAACCTTCCAAGAAGGCGCCATTCACCCTACCACATGGATGATGTTTTCGTCGCGCACGTTTCAGAAGTGGCAACTCGCCGAAAGGCTCGCACTTGCCCACCCAGCCCTAGTTGCAGCCCTAGTTGTGTGCGGTTGATCAACCCAATAGACCACAGAAGAATGGGGCATGCACAGCACCGACCAAAACTTCGCGTAGGAGTGGCCTAGATCAACGCATTACCGACACAAACAATTACTACGAAAAACAACCAAATTCCGTCGAGATGGACCAATAGACACCTCCACAAAATTAACAGCAGCACCGATCAGGACGCATGCAAAGCCCCAACATTCGCTTCTTTTTCACACAAACGAAACGACGTCGACCTACAAGAAAGGACACAGAGCCCACCTCTCCGTCACCCCTGTCGCCTGCGGCCATCCTCTCCAGCAACGATTCGCCCTGCGGATCGTCCACTCCCGACCCGTTCAGGCTAATCATTTCCCTTCGCTTTCCCGTCATCCCGAAGACCTTGCCGAGGAGGGTCTTTGTGGCCTGCCCCTGCTCGTCCGTCTTGGGCACGAGGTGGTGCGAGCAGTCGTCCTTCGACGGCAGCAGGTATTGGACCAGTCGGTGGACGGCCATCTATCGCCGTCGTCGTCGTTGATGTTGTCGGCAGGCCGCGAAAAATTGATTGATCGGGGAAGGGGAGTAAGGTGGGGTTGTCGTAGGTAAACTCGTGAAGTCAAGAGTCGGCATCAATAGATATTCCATCAATTGACCTCATGTCCTACCAACGTTAACACCGGGAAGAAAGTGTTGATGTTATTCACAAACACGACATCTGACCTTGCCGGTTCGCTCTGGGTCGAACCGTGCGAAGATCTCATCTAGCAGGTGATCGTCCATCACGATGTCGAACCTTGCCACGGAGGAGGCAGACAAGAAACGTACGGTCGACGAGGTACGCTGTGGTCAGACAGGCGACTGTGAGTGTCAGTGTTGGTGAGGTGGGTTGCTCTCTCGCCTACTTGCATGACACGGTCGTAGTACACGTACGGACCCCAGGGTTCGAAGGAAAACTGGTTCTTTGAACGAATGCGGCTGAGAAGGAGGCGAAATAAGAAACCATCATTCTAATCACGACAGTTCCGCGGCGACTCCGGTCCAACATGATAGCCTCACGTAGACGGTGGGTGGTCAAGAACAAACAAGCTGGCCCTCGACGGAGAATCGGAGGTAGACTATTGCGTTCGCCTGAGTTTCTGTATTCACGTACGGTAATACTTTTACTCCTCTACAGGCGAGAATTCCACCAATGACTCCTAATACCACCCTTACGGGCGAGATAACCCCCGACTTAGAGACGCTGACAGACGGACAGGAAACCTGGTCCATAAAGGGCGGGTGTATGCCCGGTTCGATGAACTACCCGTAAACGACAACATTCCTCCACCGTGTTCTTTGAAGCTGATGTAGCAAGATAAAATCGAAGAAAGCAAATTCCTTGTACCACCAACCAGATCCAGTTCCACATCTTGAGCGGTACGGGTTCCTTAGGACTCCGTTGCTATAATAGCGATTTCATGGGGCTGTTAAGGATGATGCAGATTTCCGTGACATGACTACTATAGGCCCCTTCGGAATGGGGGGAGTGGAGGGGTAGAGGGGCAAAAACACTTGGGAAACAAGCCATTCTCGTTTGAAAGGCTCGCACTCTTGCCTTCGAAAGATGACGAACTTAAAGGCTTCTCTGTCCATGTAGGACGAGTCCAGATGGTCCGGGTTAGCCGATCGCAACAGATTCACGGCGGACTTGAAAGCGAACCTCCCCCCGTCCTGGCAGGAGAAAATCCGGGGGGAACATTATTTCCTTCCTCGTCAATTCAGTACCTTTTTAAATACATGCATAAATAACCATAGCCTCATATACACACGAGACTTAATGCAATATTCCCGTAGTCTGCGCAAGAATGTATGTTGTTGGTCGCTGCCTACTAACTGTTGCATGTCAACCCCACAGCATCAGCTTGTGGGACAGGCGCCTAAAGTTGTACACCAGGCTCCGTGCTCGTTGCCTGCCAAGAGAAAGGGAACGTAGGGTTTCTCTTTGTCGTCTCCGCGCAACAAACGAAAAGGAAAACAAGCTCCTTGCTTAGACTATTGATCTCGATTGATCGCGTACCTGGTTACTCTTCGCCAAGAGCTTGTCTCTCAGCGTGGTCTCGAATTGTCGGAACGTCCACTTCGTCCTTTGCCAACTCTCCGCCTTCATAGGGTCCTGTGCACATCAAATTACAAGACCGTTTTCAAATTCTGTAACCACATCCGGCAAGTTCACCCGATGGTCGGCGAAACCAGCCAGGCTGCCGCGACCTCGATATTGTGCAGTTCCATCATTAGGGCCTTCGTACTGGTAAGAAGGTTCATTGCTCAGGCCAAATCCTCCACCAAACTGTACTTAATTGCCTCATAAACAAGTGACGGTCCCCGTGGGGGGTGGAATACACCGAAGGACGTGTGTATGTCCACCGACAATATCCGATAGAGTCAATACCGCGGGTGTTTGCAGGCGTCGCATGAAACGAACCTTCTTCTGGCCTAGAGATAGACTATACACCGAAGGCAGACAGGCGTTTCTGATTGTCGTGTCGTGGGATCGAAGGACCAGAAGATAGAGCCGTCAAGGAGAAAAACAGTCCGCAGATTCTGGATGTATGGCTTTTGTCTTCGCTGGTGGCGCTCGATTTTTTCGTTCCCCCCCGCATGGTGATGTGCTAGCTTGGTCCGGTAAAAACCCGGCTTGCTCCGTCCCGGCTTTGCAGGGATGCGAGATCAATGGTCTAACGACTACGGCATGGATGGCTATGAGTACCCCCCTCCGTTGTACGACCGGATTCTAGTGAAGAGAGAAAATATGGTTTCATTATTCGTGCTCCCCCCGCCTCTGAATACTCAAGTGCCTGCATCCTCCACCGGAGCTGAATTGGAAGTCGCAAAGCCCGTAGACGTCCTCATCCTTGACTTACAGTACAGGTGCGATATATTTTCACTCTTCCCGCCGAATTGCGGCCGAGAAACAACTTTTACCTTAACAAAAAAAGAAGCGATTGCCAGAGGGGAATGTTTGGGCCGAACATCTCTAAAGCTAACCGCAGTTAATTTGCAGCAGCCTAGCTAGTGGGGCTTTTACCGAAAAGAAACGAATAGTACACACGCCTCACCTTCTTCATAGGAGCACGGTTGAGGACGTGGAACTCGTAGGTATCCTTGTTGCCGAACCACGGCTCGGGCTCCGCGGTAGGGCTGATGAGCCTCACCACGAAGCTGTGCACGTCTAACTTGCCCGTTCCCTTGGGGTCGTACTTCCGGAACACGTCGTCGACATCCTGATACGCACCAAGAGCAGTCGCGGCAGATGCACGTGACAGGTTTAGAGTGCGGTCCAAGAGATGGCTATGCCAGAATGTTTCATGGCCTCTTTCTCTCCAAACCCTAAACTTTCGTTTCACCGGATGTTGGGGTGTTGGAGGACACCGCAGGGGATAGTTCCGGGGGCGAAACGCTGTTCATCGCAAACACCTCTCCCCTAGAGCGTCGTCCAACCATCACGGCAGCAAACAAGACAGAGCAATCCTTATCCTATAATTGTGCTGCGGCCCCACGACGAATGGTCAGCTTCAGTAACTGTGGCACAGTTAGTATGTACTAGTAGCACTAGCAGTGGTGTGGTCGTGGTTGGTGGTACATTGGTAGAAGTAATCTGAGAGCATGTTTTGGAACAAGCTCCAAAATGGATCGACACAACCGCATGTAGAAATCCAAGATACATTTTCACAATTTGACAACGACACCCGTACTTGAGAATATTTGACCTACAGTACCTTACTGCTTAGGACGACTGCGAACTTGTCGTGCATCTGCGCCTGAAAACCCTTCTTGGTCAGACCGGTGTTGCGCCCGTCCTGAAACAGAGTATACGCGGCCTGAACCTGCGGGTAACGGTAATGGCGGCAGCGGCAGTGGCACGGCATTGGCGAGTGACACACACGAGAACAATATTGCTCAGTCCAGAAACTGCAGTCTAGATGGGCTCTATTGAACATTCCCGACAGTGGGTGCCGGATGCACTCAATCGAACCCTTTTTCACATTTGTTCATGAATGCACATCGAAGTTCGTGCTCGGAGACATCGATCCATGATGATCATCACGGTTGAACCGCCCGGAACTCGTTCCTACCGTGCTTGCGCCTCGTGAGGATGGGTACATAAGTCGCCAACATGTTGGCAAAGCACAGCGTGCTCTGTCTGCTCACGGTGGGCAAGAGAACAAAGCGGGGTTCCCCCTCGGAAAGAGATGGATGCGTGTTCCCTCTTTCATTTCCAGGAACAGATTGTGACACCTTCCTGTAAATAATGAAAGAGGGATCTTACGCCCATCTCGCTACGAGGAGGAACTCCGTGTTGTTTTCTTGTCGACGTTGAGGAGAGTTACTTGCGAACATGATACGGACGTAAACATCCATCTTCACGGGACACGCACGGCAGGAACAAGTTTCGGGCGGTTCAACCGTGATGATCATCATGGATCGATATCTCCAAGCGCGAACTTCGACGTGCGTTCATGAACCAATTTGAAGCGGCGGTTCGATTATCGCCCGTGGGGCAACCTTTTGGAAACTGACTGGGAAAGATGAACTACGTGGAAACAGGGAAAAAAGCTGCCTGCCATTCCAGGCATAGACAACGAAAAATACTACGGGATCCTGGAAATACATTCTAAAGCAGGACATGGGGGTGGATACAGTTGCTGGTGCGAGAGTAAATGTGTGTATGCGAGATTCCATTTATTCTGGTGCGAGCGAGAAGGGGTGATATTTCAAGGAACGTTTGGTTTGTAAGATAGTTTTCCGATAAGATGCAGAGCACATACAAAGCAGAACCTACCAAAACATACGACGATGGGGGCGGCAATGTTCACAGAAAAAAGCGAAAGGTACGCAAAAATTTCTCGATGGCCTGAATGACGAGGCTGTGCTACTCCTGGATCTATTGACCTTAGCCGGCCAATGCTACTGCCTTCCAAGAACTATTTCAGACCTGAAACGTGTTCTCTTTGCTGCTACCTCTTTGCTGCTATTGCGTACAGTTTGTACCATAATAGTAGTGACCAGTTCTCACCTCGAAAAGACTCGTGCCGCCAACCCTCTCGTAGATCTTCTCTCTAATCTTACCCTCGATCAGCTTGAGGTTCCACGACCCCCCCACGTTCATTTTCTTTGCTTGGAGAACCACCTTTGTTTTCGATTCAGAAGGGAGCGTTATTGAAGGGGTTGTATCTGTGCGTGCCGCTTGACGATGTCATCGTTGCTCAAACGTGTATAACTGCAATGAATGACAGATCGGACAAAAGAATATGCCGCGGCATGATTGATCCTTTCAACGCGAAAAACTGCTTCAATCTTGTGAAATCGGGAATCTCGATCAAGATAACTGACAATTGCTTCTTGTAATAAAACACGTTTCTTGCCGCATCTTGCTGTTGATTACACAGCCTAGTCCAGCATTCTCCATACAATATGGATATGGTGTCCGATAGAAAGAAACAACAGCGATAACACATCTGAATAAATTGATCAGATCGGCCAGTCGTTTGGCCGGCGTTCGGCCGCTTATTTGACAAACGTTGGACCTGCCGTAGATTTTCATTTAAGTCTGGGAACGAAGATTTATTGATTTAACCCCAGCGGTATATTTTGGCTGGGAGTTCTGAAATAGGTCAGAGGGGAAGCTTCACCATCGTCAACATGTTGTCATGTCATGCGCCTTCTGGGGAGCTCGTTTTACGATCGAGAGTGCAACACCTTGGCCAGGCTGCTGGCAGCAAGGGGAATTGGGGAACAGGGAGAGAGGAAAGAATGGTACAGCGAGGGAGTGGCGTGTTTGAGAACAGAACTGCGTGGAGACGCCACGGAGGCTGCGGGTACATGCCGTACTGCCGAGCCCTCCGTCCCTCCGCAGGCCACAAGACAAGAATTTTGTAGTGGAATGGGTAGTAATTTCTCGAAGGGACGTACAAGAGGAAATCTCCACGTTGAATTCTTGAGTTGTATATTACCTTTTCTGGCCCGGGCTTGGTAAAGCCGAACATATCCGTACTCTCCCTCGTGTTGAACCAGGAGTCGGTGTAGTCGTCTGGCTCGAGCACACGAACCTATCAGCGGCAACCGGATCACGAAGCCACGCATGCGTTGCTGTTACACGGTCATGAAGGGCGACACCCGTTAGTTGTTCCACACAGAGGGGGTCGCTCTGTATCGTACGTAATTCCGAACAACTGCAACAGTCAAACGAAGCCACGCAATGAATTGCTGTTACACAGTAGTCTTGAAGGCGAGATTGATAACTGTTGCACACAGAGGTGGTCGCTCTGCATCGTACGTCGTCCGACCATGAACTAGGAGCAGGTTTTAGTTAAGTTGATGGAATGAGGGGAAAACACGGTTTGTCTTGTCCTTGGGAACTCATGTGACCACCACAAAACAAGTTAATCGCCGTGACGAGGCCGATCCCTTGCCCATTAGTCTAAACAGTCGAATATCTACAGGGCCTTTGGCTCGTCGGCACGGGGTTCGTCAACAGAGCGAAACTCCCACCAACAACGTAGATTCTTGTCGCTTTACCACATTGAAGGCAGGTACACACCGTAGATAATATCTTGTCTGCGTTATCCCGGAGCATGCCTCTTCATCCGAGAGTGCAAGACGGCAGGGCAGAAACTGCAAGAAACCGAACGGAAACAAATGGGATGACGCAAAAGAAAACCCACCATGGAGGAGATGTCGATGCTGTCCCCTGTTCCAGGCACGAGGTAGTGAAAGAGCGACAACACCTCGTCATGGTCCAGCTTCATCCCGAACTTGTACTCCACCACCCCGCGGAAGTCCTCCGCCGAGATTCGGTCCCCCTTGCGGTTCGACGACACCTCGCTGCGGAAGAGCTTACACGCCGCAAGAAACTGATACCCTGCGATGCCCTTGGCTTGCTCTCGCAGCTTGACCTTGAGCTTCGCCACGAGCTTCCCCATATCCCACCTATTAGTGAAATCGAGTATTTCGTTCAGGGGGAGGGTTCAGTTGGTGGAGGGCGCAGCAATTCTCAAGGGTAAAACTATTCAAATTAGATTGTGAATTTGCAGGACATGAGGCGCCGTCGATGGTGTCCTTTCTCGCACTCGTGCGTCGATGGAAAGGGTATTCGCTCCAGACATTGGTGTTTCAGTCTGGGACGACGACCGTACTGGCCTCGCAAGCAGAGCTGTCTCGTGCATGCTGCACGCGTGAAACGTTCAAGAACGGTAACAGTATACTAAGCACCTTTTCCACAACTCCTGAGGTTTAGCACAGCATCTTGGTTGTGACACAACGCAGATTGATTGTTCCTGCCGCTATGTTTTGATAGGCTGGACTGCGCTTCCCCGAGCAGACGGCGAAGGTTGCTACCAAAACTTGCCGAGTTCCTTGCAGGACTCCAAACACCAGCTCCACGCCGTCTACACACTCTACTCACTTGAAGCCCTTGAGGCATTGCGGGAACACGTTGTCGAGGGGCTTGTACGACTCTACCCCGGGGCGGTTGTGGTAGCGGGAGGACGGGGAGATGCGGTTCGTCACTACCTTTTCTCGCATTTGGTTATCCAGAAAGAACCACCCGTTGCTGCCGGCGCGGTCCGGGGCGAGCAACCGAGTCGCGAAGGACTGCATGTGGACTCGTCCTGTTGCTCTGTGTTTGCAAAAGACAAAGGCGGGGATGCCGACAAACATAACAGTTTGTGATTGGAGGAGCGGGTGGCGGGTGTTTGTGCTCGTTGCCGTACAGGCCGCAGTGCATCGCTGTGGGTGCTCCCACGCCAGTAGGTCGGTACAACTAGGTTGTTGATCATTTATCTTCCACACACGGCACAATGGAATTTTCGAGACTATGAAAGGACAAGTTGGTTGGTTTGTACAGCCCACATGCACATTCATACTACGGTAACCTCGTCGAAGCAGGAAACGTTATGGGTTGGCACCATAACCCTCTTTGCCATGGTCGTATACTGCTTGAAAATTATTACCTCGGCGGTTCAACCATCACCCCCCGATTCAGCGTTCAAATCTTTGAAAAATAGAGCCTTCTGTATCCTGTCGAGCGTTGGCCACACTTACGGGTCGGCGTATTTGCGAAAAAGCACGTCCATTTCCCCGTCGCTAAGCTCAACCCCCAGCAACCCACTAAGTCGCAGCTTGAGTTGCTCCTTGTCCATACCACCAGCCAGTGTAGATGTCGAGTCACAAAGCATGCGTCTGGCCCATTGATACTGATAGTTGCCCGCAACCTGTAGTCGTTTCCAACGGGGGGGCGGAAACCGTGAATACGTGGTTCACAATCATAGACCCATGCCCAGCGAGAGCGATTTTCGTCTCAACTTCAATACTCAGCGAGTCAATGCAGTCCCACGGGCCCTCTCGGCCGTTCGACCGGCATTTTTAGGGATATGCGGCATGATGTGTCCGTTGCTCTGTAATCGATGGAGGAGAGTACGAAGACGGATAGACAAGGAAACGAGAGAAACAGACAAGCAGGCTGACAGACAGACAGGCAAAAAAGACGTACAGAGGGAGAGACAAAAAAGAGACAGACAGCATCAACGCTACGTACCTCGCAGCGATCCTCGAGCTTATGCATGATCTTCTTCTCGATGGCTTTCAGGTCGTACTCCGTGGTGTGCTTGGGGAGAAAGTTGTAGGCGCGCCTGGACTTGTCCGGCCCGTGTCCCGGCGACTTCCCCAGTGCGACGGCGAACTTCATGAAGTCGATGCTTTCAGAATCTGCCCGCGGGAAGATGGCCAAGAACGGTTCAACCAATCCGTGCAAGTGGATGACTTCGAGCATTGACTTCGTTTCACGGCGGACTGCCGAGAGTATACTGCTGTAGTGGAGTTACCACGCAGACAACTTTGGGCCGATCATGTTCCCAGTACTTTGATCAACCCCGGGCATACCCCGGTCTCTTCTTCTGTTATGTGCCTACGCTCTCTTGAGTCGTACCCCCAGGGAGTTGGCTTTGTTGGAAATTTTATTGGCGCGTAGCATATGTTGTCAAAGCAAGTGTGGATAGGGTGTGTGGGTTTGGGAGTCTTGCTGAGGTTGGGAACTGACTGCCGTCCGGCAACTGTGTGAAGAGTTCCGTATCTGTGAACGCAGAGTTTCACTGTTGATTCCTCGTGCGGCGAGAATAGTGCTTGTCTATTTACGTGGTATCATGTTCGGGTTGATGTCGAACCAAAATGCCGTGGAGATTCTCTCCTCCTTTCTTGGTTCACACACGTACTTGTGCACCTTTTGAGTTTTCAACGGGTGTGCAAGATTGGCATCGGTTAGTCTTGGTCCCTTCTGGGGATAGGTCTATGAAGTACGTTTAATGGTATATCGCTCTGGAAAGGAGGCTGGTCACCGCTGAGCTGTCTCTGTGAAAATCCGTTGTCACCATAGAAAGAAGTACAATAATCCATATTATTTTTCGATTGCTCGCCGACGTTGGTTCTGGTAGGGAATAATTCAATAGGTTCCTAAGGTATGCCGTCGAAACGCTTGCCATCAACGCCAGGAGAAACATCCACGGCTGACACGTTCACAGCAGACTCACATTAAGGATATCGACCTTACCTGGATCCCCGTAGAGCTTCTGCAGCGCGCGCACTTCATCCCAGCTAAGCACAACAGCGAACTGGTTTTGCACCTGCCGTTTGAACTCGTCCATTGACATCTGCAATTGGCCGTTGCACGCAGGAAGAAGGAGCAAGAGACAGCTTCGTAATGTCAAGTTCAAATAGGCTCTAGAATAACTTCCGAGAACAAAAAAACGTATTTCCAACTCGGATTGAATGCTGCTCGTTGGATAGGTGGGTAAACGGAAAGCGGAGGTACTGAATGGAGCTCAGAGCATGTGCCAAGTACCTATTGGAGATGAGCCCCTGACAAAGAACGGCATTTATGGGGGTACTCAGGATCGAGTTGGCAGTAACGTAGTTTAGGATAACCCGTAACAGGTATTGCCCGTACCGTTCGTGACAGTCAACTGCATGTGTAGAACGTTTACAACGTCTGTGTAGAATTAAAAACAGAAATCAGGAGGAGTTGTTTCAGATACCTCTGTACCGTACAGGTTCAAGTGATCGCACACGCCCCACGTTTGCCTGACTTTCAAAGCTCGGTTGCTCGTGCTTCACAACCACGAGGGTACGAAAACCGACCCGATACATTGTGACGCAACCCGTTTCTCGGTTTTGACAACCGGATGGTTGCGGACCAATCGAAATGTGCAAGTCGGTCTACAAGAGGACGTGTGCACTCTCTCACACTTCTATGGTGTGTGTAGTCTATGTATGAGGAGTCTACCTGCTATTTATGAAGATACACGACCTGTCGATGCTGTTGAACATGCTACATAACAGTAGTCCATCGACAAGCATCAGCAACGGTTAGCGGGCTGCGGCGGATATTCCTGTGACTCCATATACCGCAGGCACTTGTAGTGACATATCAATTTCCATTCTTATCGGAATATAAACCTCTTGCGAATTGTGCGTAGTACGAGAGTATGCGCTCAAGAGTGCATGTAGCAGCTGAAACTGTGGAGTATTAACAACGTCTCGCAGTGCCAAGGGATTACAGCAGAAGCGCGCGCCCCGCACTATTCTTGAATATTCATCTGTGTCACACAATACGACGTCGTATTTGTATACTTCTATAAATGTACAGGGCGACCGACCTTGTAAAGTCTTACACAGCAACCACTACATGTACATGTGCCGTGCTATGTGTACTGTATGTGCGGTACCACGGTGACAAACCCCATAACACGAACTGCAGTGCGTGCTGTGTTTTTGCAGCATTGTATGGATGACACTGCTGTCTATGTTCCGAACCGTAGCCCAAGCTAGCGGCACTTCATACGCCAGCTACCTGCGCACAAAGGCGGTACTCTTCTCGACGACGCCCACCTCCCATTTTGTACCCGATGACCCCGCCGAAGAGTTCGTCCGCCCTGATCCAGCTCGAGACAACGCCGAGGCAGAACCAGGCCGCGGCACAAATTGGGCCGCCCCGACTGCCGCCTTATGAGGCGCACCATGGCTTGAAGCACGGCTGCTAGAGGGTGGCCGCCCGAAGCTCATGTTACAGCAAATGACCGTGCGAGGTGCGTTCGCCTGGTTGTGCCCCTGCCCTTGAACTTTACTGGCGGTTGGCGGTTTCTGGTTCCCAGTCGAACCGGCATTTATTACACCGCGTGCAGGTTCTCTTCGAACAGCGCACAGCGCAAGCCAGGATCTTCTGGATCACAAATCCAAGTTCCAGAAACTCTGTCAGACATAGTGCTGTGCCATTACGCTGCTTTCATCCGTCATGGTGTGTAGGACGCAGGACAGGATCATTGTACATAAATCTCTTGATGTCTTCGAGGATACTCCTCGAGCGGAAGGGTCGTCTCAAACAACGTGAGAGCCAGTGAACATACCCTGCATGCATCTAGCCGTGTGATGCGGCCATGAATGAGCCCAATAACGAATACAATCTACAATCTATTTGTGGACACATGTGCACGATCACCCTACAGTAGCCACATGAACGGCTTCCCTTGTCACCACTGACTCACATCTTGTACAACAACAGTAGTTTTACCCGCGTGGTGGCTAAACGTGGGAGAGGCGCAGCGGCAGTCGGGGCATCCAGGAGGAGACATGTTGGATACGCGGATCGGCATATCCAACGGCACGTCAAACAGGGATCAAGTCTCCGGAGGGCTCAGCACAGGGCTCAGCCGCAGGTTTGTTCTGCGAAACACTTCTCGACGGGCACAGAACTCCAAAGGTGTTCAGTTTGCCCGTGAGATATTGACGCTACTACTGGTACTTGGGGCGTGCAGATCTAATGACGAAGGTAGCATTGGGTGCCATGGTCTCGTCTCAGCTGGGGCCGTCCGTGTGGCCTCCCCGTCCTCACGCCCTCAACTCTGGTGTTGCTACACAAGTATGAGGTGTTTGACCGGTTGGTGACAAGGTGGAAAGAGCTTTCTCGGGCACGATAAAGGGGCGCGCCGAGAACCACTACTTACTGCTGTTGTGCCTACAGTAGGACTGTGCGCTACTGTCGTGCATGGTATGTAACGATCATGGTGTTTTGCCTTCAGGCCACGTTCAGTATCAGAATTGTGTTAAATATGGTCCAAAAGAAAGCTTCTCTCGCACCTCCAAGGCGTGGAGTAGGATTGACTTGATGGACACCCGCGAACAATCCCCGGCATTCGAGGGGCGCCAGCATACAGTATGCCGTAGACTGTTTAGGTTGGGACTAAACTTCAGACAGGAGCGAAGGAATCCGTTTACCCTTTTCCTCGCCGACTCCCAACCACCAGGTCAGCTCGACCACGCCATACTTCGTCCCTGTGCCTGAAGGCCCAGTGAGCTGTCAGCCAGCGTTGACAAAGCTGGAGGAATCCATGGCAGGCGAGAGTAATGCTGGTGTGCTCACACGAGTCGCATGATACTTACAAGCTTGTTCACGCTGTGGCGTCGACACAAAGCCTTGATACTATCGCACGGTGGCGGGCAAAAAAACGATATAATTGATTATTTCAGTGTGGAGGACCTCGACTAGTCAGTACAGCAGTGCGGCGCACCTGAAATACCGTTCAGATGGCATAGTCCAGTACACTAAACACCACCTCCCTTTCCCCTCTTGGAATTCGCTCTTCGCACAGCCACCAGCCTAGAGGATGGTTCCAGGCCCGAGGGTCACATGTACGCTGCTGGTGAAGGTGCTCGTGATGAGCAGGCCCCACCCCCATGGCGGCGAATCAGCGCTGCCATCCCTGGCCCACCACGTCACGATTACACATCATCAACGATGGACCGTGAAGACAACGGCCGGCTGCGGCGAAGCATCCAGCGGCAGGAATACGACGAGAGCTGGCCTCCGCCAGGGAAAGACGCAGGCTACTCTTCGAACGGGTACCCCGAGCATGTCGGTGGGGACGAGGTATTCTTTGGCGGCGCAAGACGAACGACTGGAGAACCAGAACGAGTCGGCGAGTACGATGAACATGGAAACCAACCAGTGGAGCTAGACAACCGCTCGAGCGGGTGAGAGCCAGGATGCTAAAAATAACTCTCTTCCTAGGATACCGGTACAAGGGTTACGTATCCGCCCCGTTCTTCGAGTGGCGTTTGCTAACAAAGATCTGCTCCATGTACTGTGATGGTGGCAGGTCCGTGCTCGGCCATGTGTAACATCTTGTCATATCAGAGCGACGTTTGGTAACAGAGATCTGCTCCATCTACCGTGATGATGTCAGGTCCGTGTTCGGCCATGTGTAGCATCTTGTGATATCAGGACAGCTCGAACATGAAGGCGGCAGTTGGCATGATCCGATCCCAATTCGAACTATGAAGTACCATCCTCTGGTCTAACCCCAGCCGCAGTTTCCGTCCGAATGATATATTTCACCTTTGTTCAGGCGCCTTCCGTCTGCGAAGTTGTGGACGTACTACCTCCGACCAACTCCCTAACATCTAGCCAAAATCATCTCACCTCGTTTTGTATTGTGCCTATCTAACGCAAATGTATCTCCAGTACGGGCCGACGGCGCATTGCACAACAGCAGGACGGCAGTTACCCACCGGAGGAAGCCGGCTACCTGATGCGTGATTACCACCATCATGACCCCGAAGGTCCCGAAACTCGTAGCCTACCGAGGCATTACGATGTAGACGGGAGAGTGGAAGGGGAGTTCACGAATCGTGATGGTAATCGTGAGAGAGGCGACCTCCAACCCAACGGTTGCGCCGATGGTCGCACGGGAGTTCATGATTTCGGCCAACGGGGACCAGGCGGGAGAAGTGGAGAGGAGAGTGGCGGAAGAGAAAGTTATCGGTGCTCACCACGGGTTCGGTACCGCCAACACCACCGACATGGCGACGATCATCACGAAAGCGCGCGTCATGTACGCGATGGAGCCGGGGTCGGGTTTACGGGGAGGGATTCCCGCAACAGTAGCAGCAGCGGCAGCAGTGACAGGGGATCCATCGGGAGGCAAAATTTCACCCAGGTTGATGTCGTTGATGGAAGCACCGTGACGGATCCTGGTCCTAGCAGGGCAAAACGCGTAGAGTTTTCACAAGGCATACAGGGGCCTGCCCACGAGGTGACAACTGTCGAACTGTTGTGACCGAGGTGTTCCGGGTGTGTTCCTGAGTTATAACTGATGTGGATCTCACGATGTGGAAGAGGACCTTGTCGCTCACTCTGGCGCTCGATTTCAACTGTCATTTGTCATTTCCAGCCTCGGGTGCCGCGGTCGAGCGTTAGGCGACACCTCGTTTCTCCGAAGGCAGTGCCACCTCAAAGAGCTGCCGCCTCTCCGAAAGTACAAAAGTGCGCACAAGATAGCCCAGCAAAGCGCTGGCGATCACAAGCGGAGAGGTCGATATCACCGGTCTCGACCGGCACTCAGCCTTGCGCGGCAGATAGCGAAGACAAGACAACGGTGAGCCTCCCCAAAAAAGACGATTCAACCAGACTGGAAGTAGCAGCTAGAATAGCTGGGTTAGGAGCACGGGATAGGGACGTTTTGGGCACGTAGTCAGGTCTGTAGGGCGATGGAAACCTTGGGTGCCCGCAAGTGTGCTCTTGGTTTGCGACATTTCTGAAAAGAGTAAGGAGACATGCAGCTTGACCCAGCATTGTTTAAGAAAGCAGAGCCGTCTCAGTTTCAGTGGTACTTGAGAAACATTGGACACACTACATATGTATATTACTCACTTTTTCGCCGCGTGTTTCATGTCTCCGCCAAATTTCCGACACCAAACCGGCGTCACTCAACGAGGCTCTGGTAAAAACGCCGAAAGACATGCTCCTCTTCAGCAAGAAGGCGAGGCAGGTGGACTACAAGCCTTGCACCCTCAAGGAGTATCGAGAGGCCAAGCCCACAGGGTATGTGGAGCTCGGCAAGCTCCAACCAGACCTTTACACGGACGAGCTTGTTGCGAAGGTGAGCCATGAGATAAAAGGAAAAAGCATCGGCAGCGGGGTAATACACTCCCAGTCGACATCGACCATTATCTATCGCGTCCCCGCAAGAGGGCGAACGGGCCAAAAACAGGGGACGCTACACTCGTAGCTCGTCCACGAGGATCGGAGTGAAACCGTTCGCCGTGCTATCCTGCCTTTGCAGTGAACTTCATCCGCCCGCCCCCCCCACCCGCTCATCCGCACCTTCCGCCTACACACCCACGTTCGTTCGCAGCGCGCAAATGCCGAGCGAATAAAGGAGTTCTCGACGAACCTCAGGAAGATCAACTCCGACACGGCGGCCGCCAGGGGCGACGGCGACCGCCGCCCCCGCCCCAAGAAAAAGGACCAGGACTCGAGAACCAGAGCGCTGGCGTTCGCGCGCAAGATACCCCTCCCACGGAAGGTGGTCAAGGCGCAGCAGCCGCCCGCCGCCGACCCGGGGGACCCAGGTGAACGGAGAAGGGCCGGGCGGAGGGGGAGGAGCGGGGTGCCTGAGACTGAGGGGTGGAGATCGGCTGAGATGACGGAGCTGGAAGCCTTGGAGGCGATGCACGACGACATGAGGAAGAAGGTCCAGGAGGCGCGTTCGTCCTTCTGATTTTCGGCCACACGACGATGGTGCAACTACCTATTGCACCTCGCGGTGTGCTTCGTGAGATTTTTTGTTTGTTATTGGTTGGTTCGTTCTTTGTTGAAGACACTCTTGCGCCGTTGCTAGACGTGCTGCCCGGTTTCAGTGGTCGTTCTGCATCTTGCTTGTTCGGAGGATAGGATCGCGGAGACTTATTACATCCCGCTCGTGTGCACTGATACTCTATACGAGTGGGCATACCTTGGTTGCTCGCGTTATTGACGTTAGCTGCTTCGATTCTTTTCAAGGGAGGCAAGCAGGAATACTACTGTCCAATGCAGGCATTGCGTTAGAGCATGTCAGACTATGGGGACACACAAGTCCGCGTCGCAAGGTTCAAAACCTCCCTATCAGTCCGGTGCATGAACCAGCATCTGTTCACAATCCAACCCAATATCGAGTCAGTGTACGTCGGTAGCAGACCGCGCCCGTGTGGTGTGCTTTCACAAACTTCGTTTTACACAAAAAGACGAGCACAGAACGGTACCAACAAGTCCACGTGCTAGCAGCACGCCATCATCAATAACAATCAAACGAGCATGAACTACTGTAAACACAAGAGTACTTCAAGCATCATCGCTATCCGACGAAGAACCCATGTCCATCTGCATTCGAGGACCGATCTTCTGGCAGCTGCTCGGCGTCTCAAGCACACTAACCCCACAAGCACCCTCCCCGCCACCCCCGGCTCTCGACTGCGGGAAGGCAGGGCGGTCCGGAGAACTAGTGCGCCACCGACCAGGGGCACCTCCTGCCTCTAAGCCTTCCGCGATGCCAAGAGTAACAGGCCGATCGCCCACGTCCCCTGCTCCGCCTTCCGAAGCCTTCTCTTGTCGCCGTCCACCTCCGCCGAAGTCATCCCCCCTTCCCCACCCCACCCGTCCTTCCTGGCTGCCGATACCCCCCCTAACACCATCGTCGCCGCCCTGCGCAACGCCATCACTCCGAAGCCCTTCTCGCTTGGCTCCGCAGACACGGCACGACGCAGATGAAGGGTCCCCGCGCACCCCGCACGTTCCGCAAACCCAGTCCCCCATAACCGCGTCGTCATTGGGCGCGCCCCTCGCCGATGACGCTCCAGTTGCCGCGCCAGCTGCACCTCCTCCAGGCGCCACCGTCGCCGCCGCTGCCCGGGCCTCTTTCTGTGCCCGGTGCATGTCCGCCGCCCGGCGAATGCCGCCCCCGACCGGCCTGAGAGCATCCCCGGATGCTTGCGATCCGAGAGGGGCTTCAGTTGGCCCGTGCCGTTGAGTCTCGGCCGTCTCTCGTCCATGTGAGCCGTGATCGTGCCCTCCTTGGGTAGATGGCGTCCCTCCGAAGCCGCCGAACAGGGAGAGGATGTCCTGGGTGGAGCGCATCTCCACCCTAGCAACATAGCCGGGTGTTTCGCGATCGACCTCCTCGGGGACGCGGGCGCCAGCACCACCGATAGCGTTGCCACGCCCGAACGTGTTTTCTTCCCTGCCACCGGTGCCTCCAGCCGCTGTCACGGCGCCGTCGCGACCGCATCGTTGATTCTCGGGGTAATGGCTCGCGCTCCGTCCTCCCGCGTCGTCACCGTCGTCTCCTCTCCGAAGGCTTTCGAGGTAGGAGGAAGGGTCGTCGTCTCGGTGGTGGTCAGACACTGCTGTCTCGTCGTGACGACCTCGCTCCTGCTGCTGCTGCTGCTGCTGCTGCTGCTGCCCAGGAGAGACGCTGGCAATGTCAGCGGTCGATCGAGACGGCCGCGGTGACCCATCCAGCGAGTGCTCCCCAGCCGGCGGCCCCCACATCCAGGCATTCGTGCCGTCCACTGCTGAGGTGCCGGTCGACCGGTAGTTCGGCGGGTGCACCGGTGCTTCGGACCGGGTCTCTCGAAGCACGCCCGATTCGTTACCGCCATCGTATGGATTCTGGTAGCCCGGCCCGGCAGCTCCTCCCATACCCCACCCAGCACCGTGTTGGCCGGCCAGCCCGGTTCCATCCTCACGGCGGTCCTGTCCTTCTTCTTCGTCCTCATCCCACAAGGACTCAACGTGGCCGAATCCGGTGTACGTTGTGCGAGGGGAAAATTGTCCGCCTCCTCTGTCGGAAGGAAAACGGCCATCTCCGCCTCTGTCGCCGTTCCCGCGGAGACCCACCCCCCCCGGCGGCAGCCGGCCCCAAGAATCGTCAGGCTGGGGAGCGGGGGTCGGCTCTCTCCTAGCGGGCGGCTTGAACGCCTTGAAGAGTTTCCTCTTTTTGCCGGCGGCGGCGGTGGTCCCACCGCCCGCGGAAACTCCGGTCGCCGCCGTTTTCTCAGCAGGGGTGGCCGCCGAGCCGGCACCGCCGCCGGACGCGTTGTCATCGGGTTGTATCACACCGTCCAAGGAAACAATGTATCTGCTTTGTGTTTCGGGAATTTTGAAGCGATCAGGCGGCGGGCCCTTGATGTGAAAACACGATCAAGTTCAGACTCCGCATATTGTGTGAGAGCTTCACGTGGCACTCGGCAAAGGAAAGCGAGAATGTTTCGGTGCTCAAGTAACTTTATGTCGGATCCGCCGGCCTGTTACCTGACCACCATGATACGTACGTACGTATGTTCCATGTGCTAGGAGTCTATGGCATGTTTTCCCTCACAAGCAGGCAGTGGTGCAGTTTCGGGACGACACACGGCTGAGACGCAGGCCCATTGTGTCGAAGAAAAGTGTGACTTTAACGATTTGGAACATACCCATCGCGAGCAATGACTAATCGGTCTGCAGCTACCCATAGTCTGACGCGCCCTTTGCGAATCACGCGACTTTCTCCATGCACGAGGTTGAGCCCCTGGTGCTCAGAGCTGCAACATGCATGAACGAAAACATGAAGTAGAGAACAACCTTGACAAAAGCAGTATCTGAGCCGAATACCTCCGTCCGATCGCCCAAACAGCGATTATAAGGCATGTCACTGCCAACAAGAACACCGCCACCAGCACCACCACCACCACCACCAACGACGACGAACAACAGCAACAACAACGCACATTTCTCTCTCTGTCACACTCACAGTTCCATCTCGAGCTCCGGCTCCCCCTGTGTGATAAACGCCTCGTATTGTGGCACGGTGAGGTAGACCTCGCCGAGAAGCTTCTCTGTGACGCCCAGTGCTTCGCTCCAACGGTAAAGGGATACCCGTTGGCGTTTCGGGCAGCACTTGACGGCGCCGTCCGACCAAGTCTTGCGTTTTTTCGTCTTCTGGTTGGTGTACATGCATCTGAGCAATACGGCAGGCAGTAGTGCCACGTCGGGCAAAAAGCAGCGTGCTCGGTTGGCTGTTGTCTCCACACATATATATGCATACATATCCAGGACGTCCTGTGTCCCAAACACTTCGCGGCAAAAAGTCTAAACAGAATGCCGAGGTCGCAGCCCAACCCCGCGCATAGAAATTAATCTGCAATACAGTAGATCAAGCGGGCTGATGTCTTTCTGTTGTTCTTTATTTTGCCTATACACAAAAACTTTTCGATCTCTGCCCAGAACCTTCTAAAATCCGTACTGGCCAACCGTTATCCGTACTGGTCAACTGTTGCATGTACTCGTATCGGCGTGTAAGATTCGTTCGTTACAAGCAGGTTTTGCAGCATGCCCTATGCGCACAATCTCGAAGACTTGAGGGAATGTCCGAGGGTTGACGTAATAATCGACTGCTTCTGTCCAAGTTGCCTATCACTCCCAAACCACACACCTCAAAACGATGCCCTTGTCGTCTATGCCACCGGGCACCTTCCCAGCCTCGGCAGAAGCTGCAGTGCCCGCCGTTGTATTCACCGCAGCGGCGTTGCTGTTTCCCGTGGCGTAAGGTATGTCGTAGGGTCGCAGACTCTTCGAGCTGCTGGCCTTCCTTGGGTCGGCAGCAGACCCATCTCTGTTGCTGGCAGGGGATTCGGGGAGGGGAGAGCGCGCACCGCCGCTAGCTGTCCGCTCTCGTGTTTGCCATCCTCGGTGATGATGAGGAGGAGGCCGTTGCCCCACACCTCGGTCGTCGTTGTGCGAATCCGACAGTCTCGCCATTTTCAAAATGGTAAGAGCTCTGGTTGTTGGGTCGTGTACAGGCCGTTCGCCGGAGATGTCAAAACCAACAACTTAGGACGTGGCCAACACGCGTGTGTGTCTGTCTATCTAACTGCCTGACCGCTCCGTCGCTCTGTGCCTAGATGCCACGATGCAGCAACCACGATATGCTGCAATGCTGCAATCTAGTCTATATCCAGGGGGCCCTGCAGCTGCACACCTTTTTCGAATGTTCACACTCCCCACTCGCCCTGTACTACTGTACCATCTGCGTACACTACTCCATCACTACAGAGGACAGAGGACTTTGCCAGTCCCGCTTGGCTTGGGAGGTTACCTTTTACCCTCTGCCCCCTCTCGGTTGCTAGGTTGTAACAACCACACAGTGCGACGTACAATCTGTTCTAGTTAAGGTGAGATTGAAAGGCTTGGGGAAGAAGGGTGACGATAAAGATTATTTTCGGCGTTGCAATCTCGCCGCCACCTCTGCTGTAGGCTGCTGCTGTACTGCTGTTGTAGACAGGTCGCCCCCTCTGCCGCAAGTCAACCAGCACACCCTCCGCTCTCTCTACTCTACCACATACACGCCTTGAGAGTTGAATGCTGGAGGGTGGAGTGGGCAAGCGCTATGCCAGAGTACTCACCGGTTTGATTGGAGTCGTAACTCTGGGGGTTCCGTCCTTTCGCCTGATTTGCTGAATGGAAACGATGTTCTGAAGAAAATCATACATTGGCGCGGCCTTGAAGGACTGGTGCAAACGACAGACTAGTAAATACATAAGCACCTACGACACGACCCAGCTATTTTACGTAGCACCACGCGATGTACTCATCACTATGACCTCGTGATTAGAAATCGTGGAAACTTGACACACCCTCTCACGTTTTCTTAGTCGTTTTCTTAGTCTACAGTAGTCCCCTCCCCAGCCTGGACCGAAGATGGAACACGGCGGTTCCCGGCGGCCCTACAATGCAAACAGCATATCCACGTGTACGCGGGGTCTTGCTGCGTCGACCCTTTCCATCCCTGGCCGCGGTCAAATAGTATCTTAAGTATATTGCCGTCGCTCGAGGCCGTCCTCCCTAACAACTCACAACCTTCTGTGCTTCTGTAACGCCTCGTCAAACAAACCTGCAGCAGCAGCAGCTGCAGCAGCTGCAGCAGGGCGCCAGCAGCCATGACGATCGTGTACGCGCTGATCGCGCGAGGGAAGGCGGTGTTGGCGGAATTCACAGCTACGGCGGGGAACTTCCCGACAGTTACAAGGGTCCTTCTCAACAAGATCCCTACCGAGGCAACAAGAATGTCCTACGTGAGTCCCCTGTAGGGCGCCGAGTTCCGTGTTGGGCGACAGCAGTTCGGTATTGTAGATGGCTCGGACTTCTTGTGCAAGACCTCGTGTGGATGTCCTGGAGCACATGCTCAGAGTGTGAACGAGTAGTCCAGAGTCGAACCGTAGACCAGGGAAGCAGTAACCCAGCTATGTCTGATCGGGAAGGTGCACATTATATTTCCATACTCCGTGGTCGTCGAGGAGGACGCTTCTCGTAGCTGTTGGAGGTATTGTAGACAGAGCGCTTTTCTTGATGTTGGATTGTTGCACCATTTGCTGCACGCGGATTCCGGCGAGCCCTTTTTTTGTTGTGGTGGCGGCAGAGTGCCGTCTCAAGGAGGCTTGGGCTTTTGTAGTTGACGCTGAGATTACTGTGCACACCGGTGGCAACACGGGATCTCGGGAAAAGTCTCGTGTGCCTGCTTGTTCAATGTTGGTGATGTTGGAGAGAGACCTTTTTACACAAGCAAGAGGGATACCGTTGACCGACCAGTTAAGGCACGGCGTACTCCACGGTACCTTAAGAATTGCTGACTTTCGTCAAATCTATTTCGATGGGAAATACGAGCTGGCGTTGTGAACACACAAATCTCGGGGCGCTATGCTTTTTGGCAACCTCCGACCCAGAGGCGAAAAACGACAATACGAGCATCGAAACAGTGAACTACGGGCGTACATGCTTGCCGATGGCACGTTACACGTATGGTTGTTTCAATTGAACAGGGCAGTGGTATGGTAGCTATGATGCTTGTTCAGCGCGAATCTTACACGCCTGGCTGACCCTGACACGTGCCTTCCTGTTTCGTTTTCCCGTGGCCTGGCTTCCTGAACGATGCCCTGATGGATTGCGACAGGTTTGGGACGCTCACGTGTTCCACTACATCGTGGAGAATGGGGTCACCTACCTGTGTATGGCTGACGAGCAATCACGGCGACGGGTGCCCTTCGCCTTTCTCGAGGTAACAACCATTCTATTTCTACCGCTGCTGTTGACGGGTGCTGTTGGTCATTCCTAGCGCCACACCAGCGCGTTCTTTGTGGCGGGTCCATGTGTCTTTCTCTCTTTTCTCCTAGAAAGGATGACTGCACACTTCGACCGGGGCATCCTTGGATGGTTCAAACCGTCATCATAGAGCGCTTTTTCCACACCATGCCTTCGTGACTCACAACAGGTCAGTAGCATAGTTTTTTTTTTATAGTGGCGTGCACTAGCGCTGTTGCGTCGAGGGTATCAATTCCCTCCCTTCGGTTGGACCTCATCTTGCTCTGATTCTTTACAGGACATCAAAACTAAGTTCGGCGCGCAATACGGAGCCAGTATCCACACCGCACCGGCCTTCAGCATGAATGCCGAGTTCGCCCCCATCCTTCAAAGGCAAATGGATGCGTTCAACTCGAACCCTCCAGGGGATTCCCTACAGGTGCGCGCCAGCTGTCGGCCCCCTTCTACAGGACAACGTGCTGGTTGAACGTCCGTCATTCACTGACAAGCGCAGGGGTTTGGAATCCCTGCCCCCAGAACGGTGTCAAACCAGTACGGCAGGTTGTTCGTTTGTCAGTCTCTTCCCCCCAAGAAGCACGCTTGTGGTCGTTGCCGAGAGGGGGCCTGCTACAGCCATTCAGGCAACACTTGCTTTGTGGGAGGTCCCAATGTTGTCATTCCAGGCTAGCGCTGTACGGGAATCGAGGAAGACCCGAGGGGCCCCACTTTCTGTCCATTTTCGTTTTTCCTATTTTGTATTTGTCACACAATCCGTACCCCTCGGCAGTGTCTCGGACCCCCAAGTCACAATGTGTAGGCTTTTCTTTGAAATTTCGCCGCTTCGACTTCGTAGAGGTCCTCACAACCTCCGTCGACCCGGTTTGATTGTGACGAACATAGCTTGCATGCGGGTAGACCTCCTTGGTCGCCTGGGAATAAATTCCTGTACCCTTCCTTTGTCCTACATCTCCCAACACTTGTTTTTCGCGGTAGATATCAATCCCAAGTTCTGTACGGGTGCCAGGGTGCGAGGGCAAAAAGTTGCCACGTCTTTCTTCCAATACATCTCTTTTTGCATCGTCGGTCTCCAGGAAATGCAGCATTTGTTGATCGCTAGTGCCTTGTGGCCCGTGTCATTGCTGCTTGGTCTCTCGTCTGACCCTGGTCGCTTTGGTGCCTCTTCTCCTTGGCCCCATTTTCGCCCTCAGGGGGTAAGGTCACAAATCGAAGACGTGCGCGCGGGCATGCTGGAGAATGTCGACAAGGTGCTGGAGAGAGGAGAAAAGATTGAGGTGCGTGACCCATGAACCAAGTGGAAAGACACGTCCTGTTGGGGCAGAGGTGATGTTGTTTTCGTCGCCCTTTCTTGACGTTCTGTACATCACCGGCCTGTCGTAGATTGTTCCTCCATCGCATGCCCTCAGTGGAAGGTGTTGTTCGTCCCAAGAGAACAATCACCCCGCGCCCTCCGGTCGATTCGATGCGATAGGCCTGCCTATTAGTCGGTGAAAAAAGGGCACCATCTGTTGGCTCTGCGTACGGGAGCAAGCGTCAAAGGCGATACCCTACAGCCGTGAGATACTTTTGTGTGTTTTCCCCGTCGCTCCTGTGTTTCGTGAAGTTGGGGGATTCCTCCCTCTGATTCCACGTGCCTTATTTGTAGTGAGATACGCAGAGACAAGCGGAGAGTCGACGTGATCATCTGCCTGCCCGAAAGGTGCGTTCAACCATCATCTGGCGAGTGTCATCCAGGAAGCATGCAAAAGCTGACCCCCCCACCCCCACCGCCCCGCGCTGAACATACCTTCGTTCCTTCTTATGACCAGTTGCTGGTGGACAAAACCGATCAACTGAACCAACAAGCGTTCCGTTTCGACCGGGCATCGAGGAGCTTAAGACGAACCATGTACTGGCGGAAGGTCAAGACCGGTGTCGCCGCTGCTGGCGTAGCAGTTATCCTGATGTTTGCTGCTGGGGCGACGGCTTGCGGAGGAGTGACCTTCTCCCATTGCCGATCTTGAGTCGTTGCTGTATTGGGGACTAGGTGTCGAAAGTTTGCCAACGGTGCACGAGAGTATGTGCGCTACTCTGCATGTAGGGGGGGGATCGAACATGCAAGAACTGCTGTGTATCTACGTATGCCGCCATTATGCAACGCGGCAAGGGTTGCTTCGACGAACAGGATAATATTGCTTTGCTGTGATAGGTATTCCGCGCGCAACGCGTTCTCTTTATTAGGCTGCATTGCCTGCGGCTAGCTCCTTGGTACGTGATCAACCGATAGTGAGTATAAGTCGCGCTTAAGACATGTGTTGTCGTGTGCTGTAATGCGGCGGTGTTAAAGTAGTTGTTCACCGTTTTTTGTACATTCCGTTGCACGTTGTTGCACCCTGCGGCTTCCTAGCTAGTTTTAGACTAGACTTCATTTGTTCCTTCCACTTGATGCAATGGTATGGTCTGGTGTACTCTGTAGACACGTGCCTATTTGTATGTTTCGGTCGATCAATAAGTCAATGATTTGCTACTTCAAACAGGGGTGGGTGCTGTGGGCTGCTGCTGTTGTTGTTGTGTGTGTGTGTTTGCTTCGTCTGCATCTATTCGGGCGCAAGTGTGCTGTACACCATTCGGTATATCTTTGACGCAGAACATCAGCTGGGGCCACAATTGGGGAGGCAATACGTTTTTTGTTGTTGTCCCACGTGAAGACACAACAACAACAACGACGATCCCAGTGCGGTGCTTGCCTCCGATATTTATGGAGAGAAGCGTACAGGCTACAACTATAGAGCCTTAACTACTTCAAGTCCAGTATCCGGCAGGTAGGTGTGCCTCAACGCTCACTGGGAAGACTTCAACGCATGCATCCCTTCGAACGGGTTGAGTTCCTTGTCCCGTTTCTCGGGTAGTCTACACTTAATATTTATTTCTTGGATGTTCGTTTTTTCCGAAGCGGTTGTTCAGCAATCCCTCTTCGCACGGGTTCCACCACAGAATTGCACACCTTCTTATCCCAAGAGAAATCGAAGCCGCAACCTTGACAAGGCTTTACACGATTTTCCCAACACATTGACCGCGGCGACAGGGTAATGTACCTGGACACCACTACAAGCGGTAGGCTCTACACAGTCTAATGTACGCTGCAGTGCAACCAGTATCACAGCGCGGCATACTTCATCGCAACAGGAATGCTCAGCAGTTCCCATGGGCAATGTCATCAGTATGGGTATCACCATGTACTTGTAGCGAGGAGGGCGCTCGGTTTCCCACACATGAACGAGCGCACGTTGCAGTTTATTGGTAGGAAATTGTTTTTAAAGCTGGGTCTTTCAGAACATGGATTCATTGCTAATCTATCTTAGACTTTTCTTCGTTGGAGATGGGTTCGTTGTGGTCATACTGATGAAATACAAACAAAAAAAGAATCTGACTCTCCAACGACCAGCCATAAATTTCGGTGGCAATCAGATTGAAAAAATGCGGGAAAAGCGATAGGGTCGTTGCCGTGATTGACCTTACGATTTTCTCTCACATAGACACACATTTTTCCAAGTAGACGCCCGCACCGGCGAGAGATGTTTGCTGTTTGTTTAGAAAGCTGTATGCTGTATGCTCGTTTGCTCCCGCTCCCCTGTGCCCCTGTGGGCTATTCGTCCAACAAGCCAATGACGTATGTATCCGCCGCCTGTTGGTTCAACAGAATGTCCTGTGGTCCTGTTCAACGGACGTCGCCTATCGCACATCCGCGCCCTTTTTGCGCACAGCGCATGGATTGCCCAATAACCTAAACCTTCGCTACCGCGCACACCAGGCCCCACCCTATGTACCACCCACTCTCCCTGCATGGCCCCAAACGCAGTAGCACAACTTGTCACGTTCTTCGACCATAACCTTGGAGCCAGCAGACAATCTTTGCAATCTTCGAAATCTCCGATATGGATATGAGACTGTCAAATTATACCGACAGCAGTACCGACAGAATCCCTGTCATCCCCGCCAAAAAGCAGCTGTTCGATCACACGCCGCTTGTGACACTGGTGACATGCACAAGTAGTTTTCGCCCTCAACACCCTTCCCTTTGTCGACACGCATCGCATGCACCATCCCTCTGTGGTATTGTTGAAGCCCCTGGAGCCAACAATAGCCAGCGCGGCAAGCATGCCGTACGGGGTGATCGTGACACAGGTAAGCGAGATGTGAGAGAGAGAGAGCTTGGGCACAAAAGGGCGACGTGTACGTGTAGTCCATCCCGCTTTTCAAATTCGTGGTTTTTGGTTGAGATCATCAAGAGTATGCGCCGAGGTCGCCACTTCATTCCCTACGCCATTGCACTCGAGCCGTGCGGTAACAGGGGCATGACACAGCTAGTGGAGGACTGAGTATTGAGAGAGGCGCAATGCTCTACATGGCGCGGCCGTGTTCTGGACACGATTCGTTGACAAGAGAGCGGCCCATTTTTTGCCGGAAGTTCGGTCGTTTGAAACCCACGTCGCCCTTTTGCTCCCTTCTGTTGGCTTCTCTCTCTGTTGTTGCTTGTGCCACGCGCGAATCCACACCGGGAGAGTTGCAAGGCCTGTTCCTGAACCTACGGGTGAAGGTCGTATGTAGCAGCAGCAGTTTACAGGGGAGGCCGAGTGCCGTATTGTGAGGTGTCCGTTGTTGATGTCGTTCGTTCCCAAGTGAAACGTGCCGCCATCGAAGGGCTGAACTAAACTTCAAGGCTTCCCGTCAATTTCCGCCACGCCGCGCTGCTCCCAGCTGTGATCGATTCTGAACATGACAACATGACACGCGCGGCCTGCTTGCCCGTGCGTTCTCCGGACTTGCGGACGGCGTTGCACGCGACCGTTAGATCCGCGTTTTAGCCGACACGAAGGCACACGTGTGGTGTTTTTTTTTTTCGTGCATTTTCGTCTGATGTTTGTATCTTTGCATTTTGGCATCGCCCGCCCTCGTGTCAAGAGACGAGTAATACCCATGGCCGGCGCCGTGTGTGCTTCCGGCCGTGCTTACTCCCGCTCCTCATTATCTCGTCGCCGTCATCGTCTCACCAACCCCACTGCGCCCCTCCCCCCCCCCATTCCATACCCTACCCTGTGTCATCAGAGCATCCTGTGCAGCAGTGCTCTGGAAGCCAACCACGAGAGCAACAGCATCAACCACGCCGACATTCCCCGACGAAAAGGAAACAAGCCCGGCCACAGCGGCAGCAGCAGCAGCAGCAGCAGCAGCAGCCACGGAAACGACAGGGCGGCCTCAGGCAGGACCTTCGCGGGAGTCCTGCGAGCCCTCTTGAAAACATCGTCATCGCCCGCCGATGCGTCCGCCGGGAGCGGCGACGAAGGCGAGGAGGGGGAAGCACCACCGGTAGGCCGGAGCGGCGTTGCCGGAGGCTGGCAGCCGAGGACCGCGTTGGACTTGAGCGGGCACTCGTTTTCGAAGGCGTTAAAGGTGAGATGAGGAGGAGGTGGAATGAGGAGTGCCTTTCGCTCTTGTCTGCACGCGGATGGTGGCAATCGATACCGCTCTCCATACCACCATGACGTCATCGTGACTAATTGGTGTGCTGTGCCGCTGCCTCATGTGCAACCATTTTTTTTAGCTTCAACGCTCCCGTGTGATGTGCGACGTTCGCCCCTGCGCGGCCTTGAAGATACTTTGGTTTCAAATATGCATAGGACGGTGCATTTTTTTTTGCATAAACAATGTGCCGAAAGCGACCTAGGTCGTGAGTAAACAAAGTTCGGCTCCACAGCAGTCGACGAGGGAAAGGGATGGCTAAACCCTTCTCGCGATAAAACCTAAGGCAATCACCGCCGGGGGTGGAGGAGAGGCAAACAAACAACGCAAAAATCTGAAAAATGCTCTTGTGTGACCCGGGCGGATACGTCAGGCATATACGCCGAGGGGCCTGTAAACCGGCACCAGAATATATAGATGGGACGAACACACTCTCACACACAAGAGTGCTGTAGATGTAGCCTAGCGCGAGGTGAACGAGTGTGCGCCGCTGTCTTTAGTTTGTCTCGTTCAGGTGGCGCGAGCGTACCCTGTGTGTGTACCACTCGCCATTGTATGAAGTCGCGCCCTCCTCGGTGGTGTTACTGCTCGTCTGGATAGCCGGGTGTGTATGCGTACAGATTGGGGAAGTCCGACAATCTCGCTCGTCATGCGGCGCAAGTTGAAATTTAACTCCGACATTTTTCACCGCCCGGTTTTCTGGTGAGGTCTGGTGAAACATGGTTGTTTTTTCTCTAGGAACGCTGCGCCTGAAGGTTTCAAGCGGAAGAAAACTTGTGGAGCAGGAGCAAACCGTCTCGCCCCTCCCTCGCCCTGTCTCCACTCTCTACGCTACTTGAACCCCCGTGCCTCACTTTCTGGAAAATCGACGTGCGTTCTAACCGCCGCACTTTACACCCCCTTTTGGCCCGAATCCGATCCTCTCGTGTCCAGGCGGAGATCAACCGGTCCAAGGAGAAGAAGATGGCCCTCAAAACCAGCAGAACCAGGAGCATGAACAACCTGGGCAGCAGCAGCAGCAGCAGCAGCAGCAACCCCATCGTCAAGGACTCCTGGTGGGAGAAGCAAGAGTCAGACGAGTCCTGGTTCTCTCGCGTGTCGTCGACTTCAACCATCCCCGCCTCCCCCCCAGAGCTGCACCAGCAGCGGCAGCAGCAGCAGCAGCGCAAGGCGGGTCCAGTCTGCCACGCGCGGTCTTTTGGAGACTTGGACGAGATGTCGCTGGCTGTGGGTCTTCAGTGACAGATGGTCTTAGAATGATGATTTCGGCAGCGCTTACCTTGTGCGTGTGCGCAATATGTATGCATATGCCGAAAGAGGAGCAGCCAAGGCCCGGCCGACTCTTGTCTCGTGTACGTACGATACGGTGCAGCAATGTTGATGTTGTCAGCTCATGTTTGTGCACTTTGGTTTCTACATGAAAAGCGTTGCTGGATTCTTGGATATAGCACACACCTGACAAAACGCGTGGTAATTTTCGTGGCGGGCGTTGTAGTATTTCGAGGATAAAGGCAGTCAAGAGAGGTTATCCCCCCACTTTCTTTTTCATGTAACAAGCCCGTCTCACGTGGTGAATTGCTGCATTCATTTGGACAAGGTCGGGTTGGGTTGCGGCTTGGTATGGCAACAGGCCCAAGTTTCAAGAGCACTTGGCGACAACTCCGTGCTGGTGGATGTGTCTCCGTACATGCGCATAGTAACATAGTAAACGCGTGAGGACAGCGAATACACGGCAGTGCTCACCACCAGATTCGGAAGGGAGGCAGGCTTGCTGCCTGGTTGTCGCTTTTACCATATTGTATGCATACGATGCGCCTCAAGGTGCTTGGTTTTTACGTGAAAGCCACAGCAGCAGTGTATTGGAACGAGAACATTGTTCACGGAACGGATGTGTAGCCACCCCCTGTCCGTGAGATTCGTTCTCCTCCGGGAGGAGTTAGAGGAGATTTTTGGCGTTTTTTCTGAGCGTGAGGTATGTAGAGCAGACACGCTTGATTATGTTTTTGGAGTGGCACCGACTGATTGTGGAAGGTTTTGGCTCTTTCAGCCGCAGCACCCGCTCTGTTTCTTGTTTGTTTCGTTTGTGTTTGAGGGTAGCACTTGTTGCAGCGGTGCTTTTCACTTTCAAGTCCATATCAAATGTACACGATGATCAAATGGAGGTTGGAGGAAGAGCGTGTCCGTGTTGATGATTTTTTATTTCATGGATGCCAGGGGTGAAGGTTTGATGGAGTGCGTAGTGTGATTAATGGGGATCAACGGGGCGGCTTGTGCAGGAGGTGGTTGGTGATGCCTTGTGCTGACGGGAGAAGGAATTATGTGTGGCAGCGTTTCGAACTCGCAACCTCATACATACATTATTGTTGCGTGTATAGCGCATGAAAACGGACGACTGCATGAGAGGGATGAGACTCCTTTGCCCGCCATTTGTCCGTATACGCGGTTGAGATGATGGACGAAGTCTTCGATGTGTGCGATAAGGGGCTGGGATCAGTGAGGGTTTGGGGGCGGACACGCTTTCACTTTTTTTAGTGTGGGGCAGGGCCCCCGTCGGAAGGCGAGACTGCGTTGCATGTCTGTACAAAGGGGTGGATTAACGAGTTTTAGAAGCCTCAGCGAAAGCGATACACACCCTCTCACTCTATACCAGCACGGCTGTTGCATGTAATACTCCCTCGACGGATGCTAACGCGAGGTCAATGATGGGGCATGGCATGTGTCGGGTTGGGAATGAACATGGGAAATGGAGTGAATCGGCGCGATCCGAACGTGTTGAGCTGCCCTCTGCTGCTGCGGTGGTCTTGAGAAGAAATTTTTTAAGATAATACAAGTGATGTTTCGGAACAACCTGCTGGTTGTTGCTTGTGGATGCAACGTGGCGGTGGTGACAATGGCTGTGTGTCATAACGCCGACTGTACGCATCCCGAAATATTGTTGCGCGCTGGTGTTGTAGACCACGGGTTTTGCAAGGCACGATGATGTTCTGCGCCGCGGTGGTTGTGGGGCACCCATGTTGCAAACGATTAGTACCCCTTACGTCTCAGACCCCCCCACCAAAGAGAACCAATCAAACTCACTGCAAAGAAAGGCGTTCAACACATACATCCCCACCATCGACTATAATAAATACTGGCTGTGTGTGGTGTGTCCTCGAACGGGTCGTACTCATCGTGGTCGTTCTTGAAACCGTTCGCGCTGGTGGTATCGGTTATTGCTATGACAATCTCCTCAAGGAAGTTGTATTTGGAAGTGCATCATGTTGCCTCTCACATGCTCTGGTATGCACACGACGATCGATCTTCAATCGTGCGAGACACGAATCATCACTTGTTATTATCCGGGTTGATCATTGGGTGGCCGTTGTTATTGCCGTCGGCGCAGTTTTTGATGGCGCGCAAATTTCTTGCCGTCGTCACCAACACGAAGCTGGTGTTGTGAGCTCCACAAACATGATGCCCCTTCCGAAGAGCACCGATACTTTTTCATAGATTCGATGAAGAACGGTCTGCTAGACCCTTCGCTCGTTAAGGCCTTGTTGAGCTATCCCCGGCCTACCTTGTGGACAAGGTTGGTTGTACGGAACCGGCCTTAGGACGTTGTTTACATTCAACTTCTCCGTCTGTTGCTTCATTAAGTTCCGAGTGTTAAAATAGCGGGCTAGAGGATGGGCATTGAAGCCGCGTGTCAGCGCACTCAATCAATCAACGGATCACATGGACGTGCTTCGCCCAAACCCAGAGGCCCTGTAGAACAGACTATGACTGCATCAAAATATTGAGGACATCGAATAAATGAAATGGTTCCTGGCAAAGGCAACAAGTCAGATATTTTTTCATTTATTTGCATTTGGCATACATACCGTATATGACACAAGATAACACACCTACATAAGAAAGCACACCCCCCACAGAATAGGACACCCCGGTGATAGTTTTCGGCGCTTCTGACAAACCATCGATTTATCACCGGGGGTACATAAGATAACACACCCCGGTGATATTTTTAGTTACGCCGCATATACCCTCCTTCTTTATCACCGGGGTGACAGCATCTGCCCTGGGCAATCACACACACAACCACGTCAGCTGTGTGCGGGGAAACACCCCGCATGGAGACCCCCAACAACATGAACGTGCAGGCAGAGCAGAATGCAGCCGCAAGTACCAAGTAAACGTTTTTGTGAGGGGGGCAGGAAGGATGGCGCACGCAGTCTGCGGCCACCGCCAATCATCGTATCGGTCGAGGTACCTTCGATTTTTAATTTTTTCTTGCTCGATTCAAGCCCGTATTTTGTTTCAAACGTTTTTTGGCGATGAGAGGGTTGAGTTATCGCCGAGGTCATGTGCTCAGGAATTTCGTCACCTCGGTTGAGCCCCTTTGTTTTCCACGCCCCTTTAGGTAGGTCCCTACACTGCACGTGTACGTGCTGGCATGGCTATCACACCCCCTTTTATCGCACCCCCTCATTTATCACGCCCCAAAGCACACGCTGTGGCTGTTCGGACGTGCTATCACACCCCCTTTTATCACACACCCTCATTTATCACACACCCAAACACACGCTGTAGGTGTTCGGACGCGTTATCACACCCCCTGTTTTATCACACCCCCTTAGGGGCCCCCGCGAGCTGCACTTTATCACCCGGGGTACACAAGATAACACCCCCCCCCACAGGATACCACACCCGGTGATAATATTTTCAAACTCCAAAATGTTATCACCGGGGTGTGTTTTCTTGTGTCATATACGGTATGTCAGCTACATATTTGTTTTTGGGAGTGACAATGGCAACAAAGAGGAGACAACATCTCAATCCAAGCATGGCATACAACCGTGCAAGCGAAATGCATACCCACCTCTACCCAAGGTGTAAACTGTATAAGAAGCAAAAACATGTCCAACCACCTTGAGTAAATAACCCTCTGTTTGCATGCATGCATGCATGCATTTTTTTTTTGTCTACACTTCAAATCAGCGCTCACAGCACTAGTGCAGTTTTGCTCCCACCCGTGGTCACACAGAAGAGCCCCTCTCTACCCTCCCCTCCTGCGGTACTTTGCCTTCGATTTTTAAAGCGAGAAGAGTTCAGCACTCTCTTCCCTCTGTGTACACACGAACTAGCGCTATCCACTAGGCCAGGAGCGGAAGCGAGAGAAAAACTCACTTTGCAAGAAAAACTCGCTTACGCCGGGATTCGAACCCCTTTAGAAGGTTTCGAGGATACCAACTAAACCCCCGGGGCGACCGGAGCTGCATGCATGCGATGCATTCTCCCAACGTACATAACTACTTCTACATATCTACTGCAGCATATTGCTTTGACCTGAAACCGACATGGAGTTCGAGTACCCCCCCCCCCCCCGCCCGTCCCCCCTTTTTTCGACAACAACGAGAGAGACGAGGGTGCGAGAGCTGACAGATAGGCACGTTCACCACTACCCTTGCTTAGTAAACGGTACTACAGTAGATCTTCTTGTCGGTGTCATTCGTGTCTACACGTTGAGGACGAACACCTAACGGTAGCTCCCGTCCCTGCTGTCGACAATTAGAGCGGGGACATAGATTCACCTCCTCCCTCGTCGTGAAAATACTCAGGATCAGCCAATGCTATTGCAGTTACTGTAGTTGCAGCTAATACGTTCAGGTTGCACACACCGACGTCAATCACACTACGGAGGGGGCCTGGGGCTCATGTGGCACCCCTACCAAAACCGGAGAGGGGGGTGATGAACAACCCCGCCCATTCCCTGCCCCCTTGCCGCGTGCCGAAGACCCGCTGGAAGACCCGCTACCAACAACGACGAAACCACCCCCAGCCGCCCCCCCCGCCGCCCCAATATCTCGCTCGGTTAGCTGCTCGAGGCTCGACCTATTGGCCGCCGCCGCTCTACCCGCTTGGGTCACGAACGTCGGGCTTTTGTTGTTGCTGCTTCCTGCGTCTTGTAACGATCGTGCATCGTCGTTGTCGCTTTGGCTGGCGGCGCTGCCATGGACGGAAGGAGGGAAGGCAGCTGCGCTGGCTGCTTCGAGCGGGTGCTCCGGAGTAGTATCCACATAGCCCTGGACAACAGGCAAGATGGGGTGAGATGGAGAGGCAGCAGTTAGAAAGGCAAGAGTCTCACCTCCCCCGCGTGTTGGGACTCCTTTCTATGGCCACTGCAGCCAGACTTTCGTCCCTAACCACCATGCAACAAACTTGTCACGGAGGTACTAAGTAAGGTGGAGAGGTTTTACGCATTCATTCTTGAGTGATTGTCCAGACCAAGGAACTATGTACCGCAAACCGTTCGATGTCTTCACACCTAAAAGACTACGAGTACATACCTGCACGTTGTTGATTTTGGCAAACAGAAGACGCAGCACCCTCTCCTTGTCTTCCCAGGTCAGACTGGAGATGTCCACCTTAGTGTCTGGGTTTGTCGGCAAAGAAGATGGCGGGCCCGGGTCTAGCACCGAGATATCTCTGGAACCACAATGAGCATCACGAGCATTCATTGAACCGCGCGCAGAAGACGAGAGGAGAGGGAAGGAGTAGGCGAGCACCGCGTTACATGTAGTTATATCCGCTGAAAGTAAACCGAAAATTATTACTCCGCCGTGTTGAAGATATCCAGGTGCATGCTTCTCGTTCTTGGGCGGTCGCCGTTCTGGAACTTGTAAGTCTCGGACATCACACGACCCACATGTATATCGTGTCTACCAAGCAAGTTAAGCGAAACGCAGAAGGGCTATACTCTTTACAGGATGGACAAGTGGCCATATATGTTACCGACGCTCTCACCCAAAAGACTCACCGAGATTTGGGGGACCCACAAAATCGAACAACAAACAGTGAAAAACCGTGTGCGCTTCCGGGCGTATCTAAAGATACCTACTACAGTACCTGATCTTTGGGAACTTTGTCTGGTTCCTGCTAGCCTCACGAACGCGCAGATTGTACTCCATGACCGCCCTCCGGTACTGCTTCTGTCTTCTGTCGACGATGTATCGCCGCACTTCCTCCAAGGCTTCCAAGAAAAAGGTTTCCACCTTTGACACATCGATCGGCGGTTTGCGATTGGTTGAAGGCGTCGTTTCTCGCGTATGGATTCACGGACCAGCGCTTTTTCTCGAAGAGATCAGTCTAGTCCTCCAGTGGTTGTTGGGAGGTTCGATGCACCTTGATTTGTACGCGCCTGCGACAATGCGTCGTCACTAAGCTTACAAAATATTGTAAAAGTCTTCCACAAACATTCACGTGCACTTCTTCCAAACATTGGACGTATGTTTTTGCCGGCGAATCAGTCGCGCGGGGGGGGGGAGGGTACTCATAGCCGTGCATGCCATAGTCGTTAGACCATTGACCTCGCACCCCTACAAAGCCGGGACGGAGGACGACGGGTTCATCACCAAGCGCGAAGCACCATGAGGTATTCGGCAAGCCGCATAAAGGGTGCGCTGCATCCTGCTAGGGTGTTGGGCGTCTTGTGCTTATATCGTTGCGTACGGATGACAGCTGCGAATGGCGTTATTTATTTTCTGGTGCTTTCACTTCCAGAGACAGTTATAGTCACTGTGCAACTGCCTCGAGGATGCTTGACCAATCTAACACAACGTGGTGCGATCATCCCCTTTGCGCAGAGGGAAGGTTCTCGACCCCGCATAACATCATCTACCGACCACCATTGTGGTTACCTAAAAATAAACAACGGCAATAAATAAGTGAAAACCAGGTTGTCGCCCTCACGAGGGGGGGGGACTTCGAGTGTCAGGCATTCGTCGAAAATGCGCCGTCTCAACTTCCGGAAAAGGGCTTTTTCCACTTTAGCGGATGTTTTCAACTAATAATGCAGAATCGGCCCATCTTTCTGCAATTTGTTCTCGGGATACAGGTTGTAGATGTGAAGTATTGATGGAAGGACGGGCTGAAAGAGGGCGTCTTTACGTTTTTAGAGGTGCTCGGGCGGCAAAGAAAGGTGTTCTCTCTGTTCGCTCTCTATTCCAGGTAGGCGATGTGATTCCACCCACTCCCGTTGGATGTTCGTGTTGATTTGTCCTGCAAGTCAGATGGGAATGAGCCACCACAGTACTACTGTAGGTGCACAGGGTGTGCGGGATGCAGACTCTGGCACGAAACGGCTTAGACTAGTTAGCGTTCCCCCTCGACCATGCCATCTCCCAAAATGTATGCATCTGAATGACCCACCTACAACCCTGTTTCACAACGCCGCTGTGAGCACACACACCCCAGATTCAGTCCGAATTTGATGCGCGTTCCAAATGCCTACCATGGTACGTTCTTGCTCCCCCCCTGGGAAACCGAAATAACAACGATGATATTATCTTTCGCTCGTCCACGGGTAACAATGTCTGCCCTGCTTGCCTCGTTTCGCTGATCCAGGATATACTGGCTCAGCTTTCGAACGTTCCTCAACTCCCTATTCTTCAGCATCAGCAGCTGCCGCAGTCCTGCTCCGTCGAGGGTCTGCTCTTGTAGCTCACGTGCTACCTGCAAGGCGCCGCAGCAGCCACGGTACGTAGGGAAAACATAACGGCCTATTAGTCTATTAATGTACAAGTAGTTAATCGTGTATGTGTGGAACATGCATGCCAATGCGTGTTTCTTCTGAGTTTGGTTCGTTTTGATGTGTGGGGTTTTGGTGCTTGGAATCCCTTTGCAACATCGAACTCTGCTACCGATTTCGTCGCGCTCACGTTACGTACGTGTGATGATCTTGAAGGTAGAACCGTCGGTTGACCGACCGTACGTAGGGGGGAAATATTTAGAGATCAAAACAATGAAACGAAGTACACTCTTCTTCCTAGGGAGTCAGACATAGACTACATGCAGAACGACTTCATTTCACTGTTGTTTGCCCACGCGAAGAGTTGTGAAAGGATATATTTCGTGTATGTGTTTTGTTTGCAGCGTAAACCACACTACTACCTGTCCGATTGTAGGCCTGTCTTTGACTGAACAAAGCTCGCACGACCACGTCACCATTTTCCAAGAAACATTATTTTGTACAGAATAGAGCAGTAGTCTTGACGGGAATTCTTGGGGTTCGTTGTCCAAAGAAAGGTGGAGTCTCCTCCAACAGTGTGAGCTATGCCATTGCTCTTGGCAGGTTCTCCTCACATGTGACATCGGTTACCGTTTCCTTTTCCGTGAGTCTATGACCGACCACAGAGAGAGAAGGTCGACTCCCTTCTGGTTGGATGGGTTTGAGAACGGAGGCAACGAGAGATACATTCTGTCCCCGTTTATTGCTCTGTAAAAACAATAACCACGAAGACGACGAAACGTTTATTAATGGAAAACAGTTCAAGGTACTTCAGGGGCTGTGGCGACAAACTGGCATAGTTCCAGTGGAACGGGCGAACCCCTTGAAAACAACACTACTGTAGCTTTAGTTACTATCGTTTGGTCCAAGCGCCTGTTTGCATGGTACCACAGAACACGGGAACCCTCGACCAAGTGGACGATTTCAAGTATGGGTGTGCGGGCACTACAGGCAGGTCTTCTCGAGATGTACATCTGTTGTGCTCGACTTGTTAGCGGCTACTCTAGTAGCCATCAGCTATGATTGTATCCCGCCCGCAGAGGTCCTGTCGCCCTCGATCGGTGTTGCCACGTTTTCACTGTATCATTGCCCAGTCCCGTCAGCACACGTTCAACAGCGTAGAGACAGTTTTTCACTCATATCAACCACGGTAGGCTTACATCGCCACCACGTTATCACGGCATAGCTTCTTGCGCAATCGTTCAGCCAATGTTCTTACCACGTCGGTATCTCGTTACCACCTTGTCTCTAGACACATCACCACCCTCGATGTTTCTGGAACGTAATGAGTATTAATACGCGTGTACTCTTGTTACGGTATGTACAGCAGTATCATCTCACTTCTTGCCGGGTCCTGTCGCCTTCCCTTTTTCCCTTCAGCGCCTCGTTCGTCAGAGCCTTTGTCAGCGCTGTCACCTGCTCCTTCAGCCGCTTTAACTGCCATCATAATGAAAAGGACACGGAAAACGACACCGTGGGGTTTCCAAGGGTTAGCAAATATTGACGCCTTCGACGCACGACTTGAGTGTGCGATGAATCACCTCGTCGCTACAGAACCTTGTGCTCGCCGGAAATTCCGAAGCGATATTCTCGCAGACTGACATGTAAGTACACCTCTTCATGTCATGCGCGTGGGAGTATTCCCAGAGAACGGATTATTGTGTCCCCAAGACCTATCGCGCCTCCACAGAAGTGCTAAGACGGAATATCGGGAAACAAAGGAGGTCATACGCATTCACTCCGGGCTAACGTTTCTTTTCAAGTATGATCGCCGACGAAAACCGGAGCGAGACCAAGCTAGTTTCCAACTTTTGCTGCATGCAGACTCTTGCAGACACACGACACCTGGCCCTACAAACTTAGGTGATGTCACATCAGTTAATAATGCCTACCTCTTTGTTCTTGGCCTGCCCTTGTCTTGCGTATTCCTGGTCCTTGTCGTTGAGGATGGCGACGTCTCTCGCGGTGGTGGTAGTCTGGTCCTCCAGGGTCTTGCTGTGAGCCTGTAGCTCTGTCGTCATCTGGCACCGCCGCCGCCGCCGCATTCGTTCGCGCGTGACGTGCGCACGGCGAGGAGTTACGGCCAACAACGAGCAAGACGATGGAGAGCTTCCCGCTAAATGGAACCGTTTGTTTCAGCACGACTTGACACCTGTGGGGTATGGGTGTGATAATGCACATCCATTATGGCTACCACGGTCCCACCGATGTGCTGACGCTCGGTCGTGATTGCCCGGCACCAGCAATACTCTCTGTACCTCACAAGGCAACAAGACTTGTGACTTTAGTGCGTACGATCCCTCGGTGTCTATAGCACAACCCAATCTGCTCATGACGTTTTTTAGTTGGTACTTCTCAAATCTTGCACATATTCCAGAGCGTTCTCCAAGCCCTGTAGGAGGTAGAATGATCGTCCAGCGACGTCAATCGGGTGATTGAACGGCTCCATAAACGGGTTATACTGCTGTAGCTAAAGGGCAGCCTTCAATGATGCTTTAATGCACAATACGCGCGGCAAATTGTACAGAAAACACACACACACGCACGCACACCTGCATCTGGAACCGGAGCTCTTTGGCCAAGCGCTTGTTCTCCCCGGCGATGCGCTTCGTCTCCCCCCCTAGGCTACTGTGCGCCTCTATCTTAGCCTGACGCCTAACGTCCTCGATCACGCGCTCCAAGTCCTGCCGGAAAGGCGGGTTTCCGCAACAAAGGGTGTCATTGGGGGTAGGGGATACCGCACAACTCTCCAGGCATTGCACCCCCTTGTTTAAGATAGACTCCCCCCCTTGCAGGAAAATGAGGACCGCAAAATTTCCCCCTGAAAACTCCGGTAGCAGCAGCTCGACAACAGGAACAAGCTAGGGAATCCCATGACGACAGAGGGCGGGAGGAAAAGAAAATATGGGAAAGAGCAGACGGTGGACCCTGTGCACGTGCCTTCGTTGCTTGCCTTGATTGACATTTACGCCATTGACCTGGCTATCGACACACGCCATTGACATAGATTTCCACACACGGCACCGTTCCGGCGGCAATATCTCCGGGCTACGCGACTTGTCTCACCTTTTGAAGATTGCACTTGTCAGTCAGAAGTTTCCTCTCTAGGTCGATCATCTCCTGCGCGTGCGCCTGTTCTTTGGCCTTGACGGCTGCTGCCATGTCCTCCATGGCCTTGTCGTGCGCGTCCCTCAGCTCGCGGAACCTTCGTCGTGTTGTTTCGTGAAGGGGAAGTCACTATCCAAGCGAGAGCAAGTACGAACAGGTACTAAGTCCCCGATTCATGCGGTCTAAACGCTAGATTCTCCGCATGCCGGCATGGGAAGGAGGCTGTTTTTTACTAAAAGCGAAGAGCGCATGCGAGACGCACGGCAACCAACTTCCCCGGACAGATCGTGACTGAGTAGGGGTGGTTAGGGAGAGACTTTCCGTCCTCTTGGTCCGAGGACCACTTGTCGATTGTCTAGGTTGAGTGAACGGAGACATTCCTCTCCTCGTTTCCGCTCTTGTAGCATCTAGCACGCCTTTGCACCCTTTTGGATGGCAAGACGTAGTGATCAAGCATGACTCGAGTAGATCATTAACCAAGACCGGGCCCTCCGCACCTGATTGGCTAACTGTGGCTTTGATGCACAGGCCGCACCATGAAGGGGTGGAGGTAAGACCCACGCCCTACAGGGTCGATACCCGAATGTTGAGGTGGGCTTCACCCACGCACATTGCGAGTGATCACTACAGGTTGACCCACTACCATGGTCTAGTGCTAGCCAACTTATTCTTCTCACGGGAATTTCAAGTGATGTTGTCTAGGAATATTGTCACACACGCTTCTGGCATGAATATTTCTCCCCACGTGGTTTCTCTTCTCGCAGCTACCCTACTCCCCCGCCCTCGCCCCCCATGCTCGCCCTCCTTACCTCACTAACGCAGACAGGTCTCCCTCTAGGTTCTTGATCTGATTGGTCAGCGCCTTTTCTTTGTTTGCCCTCTGGGGTGAGAACAGTGGGACGGGGATGGTTGGGCGAATTTCCACGGGTAGAATCAGCATATGCTGCTGAGTGTGCAGGTAGGGATCTCCTTGGAAAATTGTTCCGACCTTACTACGAAGTGTCCAATATCTAACTCGAAACCACGTTAAGGCATAGTCCATACAGTGCCCGTTGCACAAAATGAAAACCTCGTGCGTCTGCTTCCTTCTGTGCCGTTTTTATGCAGCTGAACGGCAGCGTGGTGACGTGTCGCCCCCCGTTGTTTGTACTCGGCAGACCAAACACAACAACACCCTGGAGTCAATACTTGCGGAACCAAATGCAAATCACCGCCGTACGTGGTGTACACGGTCGCCGGTGTGGCTTGAGCAGGCACCGAAAAACTGCTCAACTCCTACTTCCCATGAGTTTTGCCTTGTCCGGCCTGACTGACCTTCTCTGTCAATTCCGCCAACTCGCGTTGTGCCTTTTCCTGCAAATGTTTCACCGTCACTCGCATTTCCGACTGGTGCAAGGTGGCGCGCAGGAGTGTCGAGGGGTTGAGAGGAATGAGAGGTTACCGGAGACGTGAAGCCCAAACCTCTAGCTTGGAGAGGAGGTTGCACATTGTCGACTGTCTTGCTTCATAACTCTCACTAACCCCCGACGGGTACAACGGTGGAGCGTGATAGAAATTGTGTAGAGGCTGTAGGTTTCAATGGCATTGGCAACAGTACATAGAGCAGCAGCCCTTTTTTGGATCCACCCCACCCCCCAAACAACTCTGCCAGAATCAACAATAAAGGAGGGTACAAACCATCTGTCTATCTATGTGAACTCCCTACCTCTTTCCGTATGAGTTCATCATTGAGCTTTGAGATAATGCCATCCTTAGTTTCCATCTCCTTCTGGAAATAGGCCACGAACTCGTGCGTATCGTTCTCTGACTTGAAGATCTTGTTCTGTCAGCACAGAGATGGACGAGCACGCACAGGGCCAGTCCGGGTTAGCCCGACATGCATGTTTAGTTTACCCTGGCGCGGGGATCAACCATTTCTGCACACTGGCTTCTCAAGTGGTGGGGCTGATCATCAGCCCACCACTTGAGAACCTCTGGTTTTGGGCAACTTTCGCGGATGGTTGTTTCCACGGCGAGGAAACCCTCAGAGGTTGTACTGTAGTGGACGATACGAAGTACTCATGGTGGGAGGCTTTAAGTGTGGGTTGGGGTCCAAGTGCCTACCAGCAGTTCACACGAAATCGACATCTCAAACTTCTGGTCTAACTTGCAGTTCAAAGTACACAATTCATACGTGGTGGAGCTATCTGTCACAGCCAACTTATTTATCACGATCACCCCCTACTGCAGTACCAAGTACAGTAAAACGTAGATCATTCAAACGGCAATAGACTACCGTAGATTGCCCACACACCCACCAAAACGTTAATGTACAGCAGTCTACATCAGTCTAGATACCTTCCTCTACATACATACGCTTACACAGCTGTGGTAGGGCGCACCCAGACCATGCATTGCGCTAACAAGGCATTCAATAGCCTTCGTCTTGAAATAAACCCTATCCTAGCGGTTGCGCTGTACTCCTCGGTGTTTGTCATACGGTACTCGTGTGTGGTCGCCGTTGGTCCCGCAATATGCACCGCTGAATGCATGGAACACGGTTGGTTCGCTCTGACCTTCAACTCTTGATTTTGATTTCGCAAGTCATCGACCCTGTTGGACAGCATCGCGATTTTCTCCTGGTCCAGCTGACGGGTAAGCTCGGCTACCCCCGGATAGGCCGGCGTCATATCACCCAAGCCGGCCATGGCCAGCCGGTAGCCTCTCTCCCGCGCCTAGCGCCTTTTAGGCAGTAATTTCAAACGTACCCAGCGCAGCGAGCAGGGGGCAAGACCGTCGGCGAGAATTTTTCCTTGTCCGAAACCGTCGATAAATGACGGGAGGCGTTATCATGTTTCACGCATGCGGCGAGATTACATAGGATGAATAGGAGAGACGAGACGGCGCAGAGTCACCAACAGCAGGCACTCCTTTGCGCCATGCGGGACGCCTTGACCACCATCCAGCCTGAGATTTACGAATTTGTCTCCCAGGAGAACCGGAGCCATGCCGACCCGTGGCTGCAAAAGACGGAGTGGGTGCCTCACGAGAGAACTTTGGTCCTGTACGTGTGTGTCCAAGCTCCAGGTGAGCGGGGATATCCCCTGAGAAACACAGGTCGCACAACCAAGCCGCAGTTCATATGCATACCTCTGCTGGTTACCTGTGTCGAGCACCGTGCTCTCAGGGTGTCGTTTGCGTTGTGTCATCCTTGCTTTGTGCGGTAGGAGACTAGCTTTGCGTTGCCCATGCGGTATTTCTGCAAGAACTACCGCAAACACGGTCAAATCATCCGCAGGGTCAACTGCCCTCTCGTTCAACATGAAAGAACCCGCCCTTGGAAATCGGCGGGTTGAAACAAGAGAAGGGCACGAAGCGACATCTGCTTAATCACAGCCCAGTTCGTGATGCGGGAAATGATTTGTCGTGATCGCCTTATAGTGGGTGTTTATTTCATGATCGAAGCCCTTTTGACGGACCCTGCAACAGATAGATGTTATGTTTCCTGCTTTACAACAGGGGCAGTCTCTAGACTAACATCAGGTAAACAAGATCAACTCAAAACTTCTTGCTCTTTTGTGTACATAATGCTCAACATTAGAGGTATATTATGTGTAGTCTACCCGTCGCTCCGTTTTACCCGCCGTTCCATGGCCGATGCGTCCAGACAGCCTACAAAAACCTTAACTACTGGTGCCTAGAATGGGTCGACGCACGCGCGCACACACTACAGCGCCTTCGATGCTACCGTTGTGTAATGAAAGCACACACTGGGTGCTTCTAGTCTAAAAGGAAAGCAAATTAATAGATGAAATTGGAGGGAATGCTCCATAGAAGGAACCCAGTGCAGGAAAATGAATGCTACGTGTCGGTGCTGAGCCCGCCATCCAACCTCAACCTCTTTCGCGTTCCCCCTCCCAGGGGAGCCCGATGACTGACTGTGTTAACGGTGTCGGCATGTTTTCATCGCCCGCATGTAAGACCGACGGTTAACGCGGTCGTGGCATCTATTAAAACACATAAACACACGGCAGTTCATCTGCTGCCGTTTCTGTCTTTTAACCGGGGAACGACCTAGCCTCCTCCATGACGCCCCCTCATGATGGCCTTTAGTAACGTTTTCCGTTTTCAGCCGCGCGGAGACTGAAATATATCATTGGTCACCCGGTGGTCAACGCTAGTAGTAAAGAGACACAAGCAGTCAAGAGTTTTGAGCCACATGACCTTTCTCACAACAAACGCCGCAGGACTAAAGAGGACCTGCCAAAAAGAAGTGGGAATATCGGCGACGAGAGTGGAGGTGGTAAATGCAGGGAGGACGATGAATGCACCCCGAAACGAACGCGAGTCCAAAGTAGTAGCAGCCACGGTAACCACGTTTAGTTTTCTTCTGTTTGTGCTACGGTACCGGTCTTTAGTCCGGAAAGCGGCATAGCCTCCCCCGTGACGCCCCCTGACGGGGTCCCAGATCAGGTCCCAGATCATGACCTTTTGAAGCGTTTTGTGTTTTCAGCCACACTGAGACTGACGCCTTTTCATTGGTCAGCCAGTTAGCGCGGTCGATGCAAGTAAGAAAAACACACCCACACGCACACAGGCCCATATCTCGCCCTGAAGAAGTTTGATCCAGGGCCACACGGAAGAGAATGTCCTCTTATGATATCTCAATACATTCATTTTATGGTGCGAGCACAGTTCAACAGTCCCTCCCCTACTCACTGACAAGCTCTCCGTAAATCTACATGTGCTCCCCCCGAGGAACCTGATCACGCTCGGTGTCTACCGGCATGTGATACTCCACGAAGTCTTTCTCGTCTCTACTACGTAGTGTGATATTTATAGGCACAATTCCCAATTGCAGTATTTCGTCTGTGTTGCAGTTGTCGTCAGTGTTCTTGTTGAGCTTGCCACCTCAGGTTGGATAAGATATCACACCCCCTGGACCGATTTTCAAAGCTCGATACTCCATATGGCAAAAACGAGCGGCGGTGCCGAATCTGGCAGCGTTGGAGCCGTCCGGTCGAGACCTTTCCGAACACGTTTCATTTGATTTCGGCATCCTCTTCGTCGTTAATCAAGCCTTGAAAATCCGTCCAGGGGGTGTGTTGTCTTACAACATGCAACCCACGGTAGGCTTTCCCGGGAAACATCCTCTTGTGCCGAAAGGGTAGTCTTGCCAGCGCTCCTACTACCCCTTTGCCGTTGGAAGGCCGCGTCGCGACTATCAAGGACAATCGCACAAGTGCATCGCGTGGACAACTCTCTAACCAGTCGTCCCTTCTTGGCTTCTTGGCCTGCTTGGTGTTGTGTGCATCAGCTGGTTCGAACTGCAGGCCGGGAGGGCCTGAACAGGTGGGCGAAGAGGTCACCTCGAGCAAGGAAGAGCTGCTGAACACGCTAACCCGGCCGAAGCTGCTGAAGATCTACTTCCCTCCCAGCCTTGACCAGGTTCCCTTCTGCTTCTGCGAGGTGAGTGTGGTGGTTTTCGCGTTTCGCCGCGGAGCTCCCACTTCCAACTACATTTCATAATCCAGCCCCACGTGTTTCTGGATCACCGCAGGAGAGATGCTGTTGGTGTATAACAACATGATCTGGCGATTATCCGGACAACTGCGACAGTGCAAGAAATAGATGGAAAACTCCTATTCGGTTTGAAACATATCTGTGCCTGTCGACGCAGCATTTTTTCTTTTTTGACACCCCTTCTCACTTGGTTTCATCTCGGGTAGCATTCAGCTAACAAGCTCGAAGCCACCACGTGTGTGCACTCCCGCGAACTCTCGTCTCTCTCATCGGCACCTTAGTGCACCTGCGGCAAGCTTTGTTTCCCCCCTTGTGAAACAACGCCCGAGCTCAGGAATAAAACCTCAGGGGCACGAGTGAGGAAACCAACACACTTTATTCTATCCCTCCCACACCCAACCAACCTATTGTATCATATGACGCCGCCAATGCCGAAGGTCCGATACACATTTTTGAAGTCCCGCATGGACCCTGCAGGGTCTCCAGCCACAACGTATCATACGATGCCATCAGTGCTGAAGACCAACAGCACACACCATCCCCACTTGTGCAACACCTGTGTTTGTCAGGATGATGTTCTAGTGCCGGCGACGGAGGCTGCCAACGGGCGCCTCCGCCCGCTCTCGTGCAACTCCGTCCGTGCGGTAGTCACCACGGTCCTCCAGTGCGTGAAGCGGGAGGCGGCTTCAGCATCCGTCCTAAGCTCGGGCGACAAGGGCGCAGAAGGAGGAGGAGGTATGCGTACACGAACTCTTTACATGCAGGCAACCTCATTCCTGTATGTTGGTTCTTCGTGTGTTGTCGGCGATCAGACACAACAGCTCGACAAGATGGATAGATGGAATTACTAAGTTCCCCCGCCGCCCCAGGGAGGACCCCATCCCAACCCCAACCACCACAAACAGACAGTCACACAAGAATGTGTTGAGATCTTTCACGACCGAAAAATCAACAATCTGCGTGGCAAGTAGTAAACTGACACTGTTGTATCGTATTCCCGGCCTCACTACCGACCCGCAGGAGCGGCGCGAGCTCGGTTGGCCGCTGAGGCAGTGCTAGCGGCGATAAAGGAGGACCCTCTCGGTGCGGACCTCGTTCTCGCGCTCCTGAGCATGGCAGTCTCTTCCTACAGGTGCAAAAAAAAAAAAAAATTAAAAGTAGCTATGTAATACAGGCTGGTTGGGTGTTTACCGCTTAAAAGGAGGCGTTGTCCTGGTGCCGCCTTGGGGAGTTATCCTGATGCCGCCTTGAGGCGTCGTCCTGATGCCGTCTTGGCTGCCTGTTGGCAGCCAGCCACACACAATACTCTCTCATCCTTGGTGTGCAGTATTTCTTCAGCTCCGGTGTTGAGCGTGATTCAGCTCTTTGCCCCGGGGCATCTCGATTTTTTTAACCTGGGAATCGTGGCTCCGGTATCCTTCCTCTTTGCCGCCCCCCCTCCCGTCCCCTTAGCCGGGATGCCCAACCCACGGCACAATTGGTTTAGCACAGCAGATGCAAGAATGATGACACTATCACCTCCTGATTCATCCTTGTAAACGTGTAGACTATATTATTGCCTGGGCCGGCGAAAACCCGGCATATCGCTCCGTCCCGGTATTGCAGGGATGCGAGGTCAATAAGGTAGGTAATGAAGACGGCATGCGTTTTCATGAGTACGCCCCCCCCCCCCCCTCCCTTTGATCTCTCCGAAACAGACGAGACACGGTGTCGACGCCGTTCCCCAAACAGTTGGAGTCACCGGGCGGCTCGAAACGCGCGTACGCTGCCTTCATTTCGTGCTTGGAGGGCATCCCCAGCATGCTGGAGGTGGGCCCTAGTTTTTTTCCGTGTCTTGAAGATGAAGATGCCCTCGTCGTTGACAGCAACGGTACTATTCTACTACAGGTACTTATGACGGTTCTCATGCTCCCCTCCGGGGTGAAGACAAATCGACACAAGGGGCGAAGACAGGTGTAGACTAGGGGGGAAGACAGAAAAATGGCAACAAGACCCTTTTGATTTTCTGGTGCACATTTTATAGCGCTATTGTACCTTGGTTTCTTGTGCCTACTGTAGCACTATTTTATTTTACCTTGTTTTCTTGTGCATGAGCGCTGTGGTTCGTCGGCCAATGAGGCATGCTGGCGACGGAGATCTGGCGGGGAATCTGTTGCCCTCACCGGCGATTTTGTTGCAGTTCGCCCGCAATGTAGAAACAATGACCAACCCGCCCCCTCGACGCCTCACAGACCTGGACCGCCACCCCCCTCCCCCCCCCTCGACGCCTGCCTTCTCTCTCTCTCTCTCTCTCTCTCTCTCTCTCTTCCTCTCTCTCTCTCTCTTTCCCTCTCTCCCTCTCTCGCCATCGTGTTAATGCACAGATGTCAAGGTGGACGGACGCAGCACAGGTGTTGAAACTTCCCCCGGTAGCCGTCGTCGCCCTCCACTTGGTGCTGGTGCTTCAGCCGGCGCGGCTGCGCAATCTTGCATCGAAGAATCGCGCTCGGTCTGCGGCGACAGCGAGCTGCGGCGCTAGGGCCTCGTCGAGTTGGTCCGCGTCCTCCGGCGCGGGCGTCGCCGGGTTAAAAGCGCGCTTTCCCGCCGCCGGTTTGGGGGTTCCGTCGACTGCAAGCGGTAGGAGTGGGGATGGTGGTGGTGGTGATGGTGGTGGTGCGTCTGCCCAGCTTGGCGACGTGCCGACGTATGCCTTTGAGGTCGTGCTGCCCAGCGATCCCGCTTTCGACGCCCAGGTTCGTCTGCTTGTTTCTGTTTCTCGTGTTTGCGGGCTGTTGGTGCTGTTGCTAATGGTGTTGTTGGTGCTGCTGCTGATGATGTCAGGGGAATGTTTTGATTCGGTGGCGAGTGCAGCCGCTACGTTAGGTACGCTGGTTTTACGCGTACCGTAGCCCAGCATACGTTTTTCGTCGACCCTTGCGCTCGCGGATTGCCCGACACCAGTAGCCGCAGCGATAGCAATACAGTACCTTGATTTGAGGCTTGGCCCCCCCCGACGCGAAGCACAGACTCAGAGCGCTCGCCTGGAGAACATGACAATGCCCACGCCCGCCCTCGCGCGCACTCCAAATCTCGCCCACCCCCCGGGGCTGCTTCTGCTGCTGCCGTCACCGTAACGCCACGGCGGTTTTATATCGCCTTCCGACGACCACAACACCCGAACATTAACAACAACAACAACAACAACAACAACAACAACAACAACAACAACAATAACATACGACGATGACGACGATGACGACGACAGGCAGAGCTGGGGGGGTCCAAGGTCGCGTACCACGGCTCGAGCCCCGAGAATTTCCACTCCATCCTCAATACCGGGCTCCGCGTGATGAGCGGCAGCAGGCTCATGAAGAACGGCGCGGTGTTCGGAAACGGAATGTGAGATGAAGGTTTTTCTACTCGCGCGTTCGCGTACCACGTTTCGTCAATTAATTCCAAGGGTTTTCTCGGTAACGGTGTTTTTCGGCGGTACAATAATGCCATTCGGCGGTAATTGATTGTTTCTGGAGGTAGGCGGTCATGCGTTCGGTGACGACTTTGGCGGTGGCGGTAAAACTTAAAAAACGACGGTCAAACGGCGGATCACCGGTACCATCCACCACGGCGGTAATATTTACGGTAAGCCGTTCATCATTTCCGGAAACGCCGAGGCTTTTCTCCAGCGCCACGTATACAACCACCCGTCTGTGACCCAAAACTACTGGGTATCCTTGCCATTTTTTTCGAACGGTTGCGACTAACCTCGCCCCTCCTCTGAATCCTGTTGCTGTGTATCCACGGTGCATCTCTGGGTGCGGCTGGGTCGATGAAACCGAAGTTACCTCTCGGGAAGCTGCAAGGCGGCCGCTACCTTCGCCTATCGCGGGGACGGTAGCGGGACTACCGTGTGGCCACGGAGCACTTTCGTAGACAATCACTCCGCGTCTCGTCCTGCCGTAGCACATGATGTCGTTACCGCTTCTGGTGTTGCTGGCACTCCTGACGATACGAAAGGCGACTCCCCTGCTGGTGCTGCTGCTACTGCTAGAAGCGGCAGTGCTTCGGTTGCTTCCTCGGCTACAAACGCCCGGTGCAAGAGGTTTCGACACCGTCTGGTGGCCAAGTGTCGCGTCCTAAACGGCGACGGGGTCAAGGAGGTGAGCCAGACATACTGACTACTTTGTCTTGGTCTTAGATTTCATTGGCTGGGTATAATCTTGAGCGGCCTTGGCGTTGGCGTTGGCGAGGCTGGGCGGGGGATCCATGAGAGAAGCTTTGAACGAGAAATGGCCTTGATTTTCGTTGATATGTTCCACGCCAACGCCCACGCCGCCCACGTCCCCCTTGTTTTTGTTTCTTTCCAATCACGCAAGATATTCTGGGGCAGAGTATCTTCAACAGTTCCCGTCCAGCGTGTTGGAAAAAGAACTTTTGTTTCGGCGGAATATTTCCCCTCGATGTGACACTAGCGCCACCGTGGTCGCTAAGAAAGTCTCAGGGTACTCACGATTTTCCGCTGATGCGCTCGTGTAGCGTCGTCTATGTAAGGTCACAAGTTTTACCCGCCGACACCGGAACAGCAATGTAATATTGCTTGCAAGCGTTGGCGGATGCTAGGTCCGACATGATCACAACCAGAGTCAAAGGTACTGTTCGTTGTGTTGCACCCCCCTGCTACGCGTCGCGGATACAGCGTCCAAAATAATGTTTTCTTCTTGTGTTTTCTCAAAAAGAAAGAGGTTTCTCCAGCGGCTGGGGTGATCTCTCATTTTCACCTATTCAAGTGGCCTTGCCAAATGTAAACCACGCCTGGTGGTGCGTGCTCCCAATGGGGGTTCACTGCGAGCATTCTTACGGTGTAGGTCGTAGAGTGCAGATGTGTAGATGTGCGGTGCCCGGGAGGTATCGTTCTCCGAAAGCGCTCCCGCCGTGCCCTTGCCGTTGCTGCTGCCCGGACAGATCGAAGGCAGCGGTAAGGAGGCGAGCTACTTCGTCGTGTCGGACGCGTCCCGGGTGCGCGTGGAGGCCATCCTTCTCTTCCACGAGACCCAGCCGTCGTCCCAGCAACACGCCGATATTAATAGTGCCTCCGTCGACCGTGCCACCACAGCCATTAGCAGCGGTGTTGGCGACAGCGGCAAGGGGGGGTCTCGAGCAGCACGGGGTAGGCAAAGCGGGGCGAGCGAGAGCAGCGGCAGCGACGACGACGAGGGGGTGTCTTGGTCCCGGGGGGTGCGTAGCGTCAGGGGTCACCTGCGCGGAATGCTGTTGGAGGTGGTGACTTTCGCGACGCTATTGTGGTTTTTATGGTATTTTTGGAGGGTCTCTCCGATTTCAAACTGAAGCCCAACTTGTGGCTCCTGCAGCCGGGGAAGAGTTGCCAGCGGTTTGGCGATGCGAGTGTGTTGTGAGTGATGGGTGATGAACCTTGTGTCGTTGCCGCCGTGGCGAGCGCATTTGCTGTGTGTCAGGTGGGAAAGAGTAGAGACTACTGTATCATTCATGAATTTTCCGACAACAACGCGCGCCGGCTTCTGATTGGTGGTGCGGAGCAACCCAATGTCTTGATACTGGGTTTTCTGTCGCACACCTTAGGCTCGACGAACAAAATCGACCTCCGTGTGTCCTCCATAAAAGGGAGTGGTAAGCGTATTGCAAGAAGCAGCGTTGGGCAGTAAAGATGGCGGTGTGGTACTTGTTGTTGTTGTGTGGGTTTTGAGAGAGAAAGAGAGAGAGAGAGAGAGAGAGAGAGAGAGAGAGAGAGAGAGAGAGAGAGAGAGAGCATACACCCGCCGTCCTATATGAACATCACCCTTTGTTCGACGTGCTCCTGTGCCGTCGTTTGCGGTTGTTGCTTGATGCTCGTGGCCATGGCCGCAGCAACTCAACGCAACGCCTGCACCACTCATGGCGACGACGCCCTCGCCGGACACACTACCGTACCCCCAAATAACGTTTTCTCGAATTTGTGAAAGACAAGCAGCCTTTGCTTGTACTTGCCATTTGCCATTCATACGCCTCTCGTTGTACGTAGAAAATATGCGTTGGAATATTCCGTCAACTTTCAACATTGCCCAACCCTGCTCAGGATTCGTCCGACCCACCGACAGACCAAGGTACAAGCGCTGGTCTACATTGGCAACACGGCCCCGTATCATTCTACGCGAGGTTTGGTTTCGCGCTGGTCCTTGCCGTCCGTACTCACACCCTCGACGAACTGTAGTGCGCTTTACCAAGCTTTGTTCTCTTGCTTTGAAATGCGGTTCATCGACACCAGGGAGAACCGACTAACCCTTGACACAACAGTGTTCCGGTTGGAAGGAAACACGCCGTGTTTGGAGTTGCGTATTTCTGCCCACGCCCTCGAGCGATCTAGAGTGCCATGCTGGTCCATCAACCTTTATTTTTGATATCCTAATAAGCCGCGATTTGGGGAGGAGTGCATACCTGAACAAATACCAACCATTGCCGACGGCAGATGATTCAACCACCGACGAAATCTGTACAAGGCGGAGACTGATGCCTTGCGTTGGTTATTCGATCGAGCACTCCTAGCGCAATGTGCAACAGAGTAGCGCCGTCTTGCAGCACCATGACCTATCTACCAGCACCCTCTTCAGAGAGATGAGAAGATCCGAGTGAACATGCCAACTACCAGCTGCAACCAACCAGGACCTCGCTTTTTCTCCTTCAAGACTACTACATATACACTACACAAATGAACACCCCATGTCGGGAAATAGCCATCTTCAAAGACAACCGGTCCAACAATGAAAGAGGAAAGAGCCATGCGGTCCGAAAATAAGGCTGTTGACTCCGTCGCTCCAGAAAGCACCTCTCTCCTCGCTTGGTAGCACGGCGTGACAACAGCGTTCCTAAACCCTTTCTCGCAAACTACGAAATACTACCACAAACAAGGAGGACCAAGAGCCACGTGCCGCTATACCATAGCAACACTTCTAGGACAAAAATCATGTTGTTTGTCGACCATGGCAGCTAGCTCTATTGTACCTTCTCCAGGTAACAACTCTTGTGTTCTTTGTTGCTTTCCACTTTACCCTTGAGGTATCATCATCCTTTTCTCCCTTACACGGTCCAAAATACACAACAATTTTGACTACTACTCGACTTCTACTATAGCCTCGAGTTCTACCGGTATGTCGAGTGGCATCGAGCTCATGCCCACCGCTGATCTTGCATGAATCCCCTTCTCCCCGAACGCCTGCATACACAACACCATGCAGAAAACACCGAATACAACAATACAACACACAGCGAACACGCGGGGGTTCTCGATGTCATCAGAGAAAGCTTGTCCGCGTCGCGACAAGAGAGGGAGGGAGGGATACATCGTTGTCGTTTCGCCCATAGTCTACAGCAGTCTTACCCAGAAATTGGAATCGCAATGCGTAGTGGAATAAAGAGGGAAAGCACGCAAATCGGGGTATATCAAGTATATACGAAGAAACGACGAGAACGGAAGTCAGTGGGTCGTTGGAGCGTCGCCAGTGCCTGAGAGCTGGATTCGCGTGTCTTGGGCGTCGCGTGAAAAGAACCTCCCATGCGCGTAAACCCTGTCGTCTTGCCTTCGCAACGCATCGTTTGCTCCGCAGTGTCGTTGGTTGCGGCAAGGCGAGCGCTTGCTTCAAAGAGTGGTACGGTGCCGAGCGATGTCACTCGTAAAAACACCATGCACAAGGCGAACCCTACCTAGCATCGACGGCGAATGCTTGACATACTCTTCATCGATCCCGGAAAAGTCCCCAAAACAGAAGGAGGAAAACATCAACAAAAAGTCACGCCAAAGCACATAGCTACATCTACAAGCAGCTTCTGCGGGGACCGCTTGCTTGCTTGAGTCGTGTGCATACCTCGGCCAAGAGGTCGCTCGCCCCGTTGAGGATCGTCGGCTGCCCCGTGTAGCCGTCGACGCACTGCACGTAGCCGTTCAGCTTCACGATACGTGCCACTCGATCGAGATCACCCAGTTGATCTGGAAGTCAACCAACCGGGTTCACGGTCGAGCGTTGTGTGGTTGCTTGCGTGTGCTTGGGAACATCAAAAGGAAAAACATTTGAAGACCCAAAAAAAATACTATCCCTAAACAACCTTGTTGAGAGAATCCTGACTATGCTACATACACTACACGAAGGGAGAATAGCACTATCAGTATCGATGACTGCTGGTACGTACATCCAATCAGTCGCTCTTTTGTAGGCACCCGGCATTGGCCAAAAGCTACCGCGGCACCGTCGGTTTCTGGTTGTTCCCCGAACCCCGCGTTTCCAAACGCAACTTCTCAGATGCGGTGTTCGCGCCAAAACGGCAGCACGCGTTTTTAGAAACTCCTCCGTGCTTGCTATCAAATCTACCCTTTGATCGGCCGAACCCTACGCGTCCATTGCTGCTCAATTGGGACAACCAAGACAGCGCTACTGTTTATTGTACGCTAGTACGGTACATGTGCCGGACACAAACGAGCAAGCTAAATGATGCACAAGCGGAGAGGGAGTGCTGCACTCTTCTCGCAATAAAAATCGAAGGAATAATGCCGCAGGAGGGGTGGGTAGGGGGGAACCCTTCTGTGTGACCTCGGGTTGTGGAGCAAACGCCACGAGTGCTGTGAGCGCTGACTTGAAGTCAAGACAAAAAAAAAAAAAAACGCGGCGATCGAACCCCTCACATTTCAATGTGGCGAGCATGTTTAGAGCAACCAAGTGGGCAGCCGCCACGCCCTCCTCCTCAGTGATGTTGTCACCCACCTGGCAGTAGACAGGTCGAGACGGGACCAGACTGTGTAATGTAATATATGCGTGTCAGATCACTAGACTGCAGCACTACAGCACTGCTGTGCGAGATGAAGCAGCATGGCGCGCGGTGCAAGGGATTTGACGAGTTGCGAAGTCAAGTAGCTCAAGAGGCAGACAATGCCCGAGCGCCATGCAACGCGCATGGGTGGGCCCCCTCTCTCTCACGGTACGCAAACACACACACCCTACGTGTACCAGAACAACGTGACGCTACAGCGGTACACTGGCTTCGAGGACGAGTGGATCATGCGCGCGCGATTGTGCAGGGTGCGCAACAGGGGGCGGACGATAAAGGCGAACAAAAAAAGAACAGTGGCAACAGCTAGAGCAGCGTATGTATGCGTATACCTTCGGCTGCATGTTGTGGTTTCATTGACATGCATCGGCTGCGCTAGCGGGCCGACCAATGGGAAGCCGTCAGCTGCGGGACAAAAAAACAAACAAACGATTCCTTGCCATCGGGCTCCCCCCCGGCAGTGGGGGGGCGTCAGTGTGTGCTTTCGTCTCCTCCACTATTAATAGATGATATTTCCGTATGTACAAGCGGGTGGATGCAGGCAGGGCGCATGGTGTGCTTACCGTTCCCGTTAACAGCACCCCTTCTGGAGTCATTGGGATGTGCCCCGAAATGTACAACGTCTTGCCGGTCTGGTAGGCCACAACGTAGCTCCCTGCCAAACACAACACCAAACAGAGAAACATGCACGAACGCAAGAATATGCAAGTAGCGCCCATGTGAGAGGTTGACACGAAGGCGTGGTCCATCGTGCGTTACTGCCCGGAGTGACGAAATCACCGTATTTTCTTGTCTAGACGAGGTCATTATCCTGTCTTCTCTTTTGCACCAACAACACCTTGCTTCCTCCGTATACAACGCGAGAGCATCAAGCGAACGGATCCACCCGTTTAGTCAAAACCAACCGGGCGCAACACAGCTCAGGGTAGGTCTTAACGAAGAAATCACGTCTCGAAATCACATTTCGATATAAGAATAAAAGAGTCGGATCTACCCAAATCCGGACAGAAATGGCCTGTGTGTCTTAACGGGAGATCTGCCAAATGGTAACGAATCTCTGCAGTCCACCGCGAACAACCCGAGAGGTCCGCCGCTTGCCAACTGCCAGATTGCTGTTGTGACGTACTGTTATGACGTGGCCACACCACATGGGAAGCTACCCTCCCGACAAGCACACACGAAACGCGTACATGGCCTCTGTGCGGCACTGACACGATGTCTATATGCATGTGAGAGTTTGAATCGAGCCTCGTCCGACGCAAAGCCGCCAATTCGTCTGTGCATTTGAAGTTCGACAAACCACGGGAGACTGCCCAACAGACCAACACATCCCACACACGTTTTTTTTCGGCACCAGTCACGTGCAACAACGATGTGCAGTCACCCTCCCTTTGGGTTGGCTTTTTAGTCTCTCTCTTTCCTCTGTGCTCGGCGGTGGATGGAGTTCGTGTGGATGGGGGTAGGTGGGCACGCGCCGTGCATGCGAGTAGACCGTGGTCCCGCAACTATGGACGCTGTTCACCCAGATCGGGATCCGATTAAATGATTTCACCTTTTTTCAAATCCCGATTTGGTTTTGGGTCGTCCTGTTTAAGTCCTAAAGATTCGACGGGTTCCATAACATTTCAGCCAATCATCGAAAGAGTTCTGTGGATCTTCCGGTCTTATAACCAAATCTGAATGTGATTTCGAGATCTGACTTCTTCGTTAAGACCGACCCTCACTGCACGAGAGCTTGACACGGCCTTCTCCAAGTATGCATACCACGTGCAGGTAGTCTCTCCGTGGTGTTATATACGGAAGTGTACATTTTGTAGGAAGAAAAGCAGGGTGTTCTGTTCATGAGTTTGGTCTTGGTGAATTGGGGATCCCGAGCACCAACGATGTGGGCCTTTCTGCTTATTGCTGTACCAATGGTAGATCAACGGCCAACCATTCATTGCCGACCAGAGACCAAAAAGCCGTTAGGACGGTCTGCACAAAAAACGGAGATATCCTTGAACAGGTGGGTCACCTAGCAAATAACTGCAGTAGATCACGAAAGATAAATGTTCCCGACAGCACTACCGCGGATTGCGGTGCTTTCTGAAGTAGGCCTCACAGGCTACCCACTGCCCACAGACCAAGAGGGCTTTCACGAGAAGCTTGTTCCAGCACCAACCTGTTCACCTGTTGGGAGTCCGTGCGCATGTTGGAATCTCTGCATGCTCGTACATACAGCAGTAATCACACCGCATTGACAGCAGTGACATTTAGTCAGCAGTAGTGTGTGCATGTTTTACCTTGAACGCTGTGCATCGAGAAACAGGTGTACAACCAGGCTACAGAGCAAGACAACAACTGCAGGCCAACGCCGCACGAGCCTACGACGAGTGTTTGTATTGTGAGTCTCAGACTGCAAGCAATACAAGCAGTATACCTTGAGGTGGTACAATAGCCTTTGGAAGTTTGATGCCTTTGCTCTCAAGGTGCGCTTCGACATGGACCGCCCGACAGCACCTCGCCAAAGACGTTCGCGACTTAGCGCCCACTCGCGCCGCTGCTGATGCGATCATCCTCTGCTTTGTGTTGGCAGTTGGGAGGGAAAACGTGGGCGGCAGTGTAAGTGAGGGAGTGACAGTGAGGGTTCGCTCGGCAAAGATAAAGATGTATCCGCCTGCTCCTGCTATCTGTAGGGACCCCGTTGCAATCAGGCCTTTGTCCCGCTACTACATCTGCAGAGCGCAGAGCGCCGCCAAGTATACAGTCAGTAGACCAGAGGATCAACTTATCATGCTTCGTCGAGTGTCTTCGCTGGTTGGTCGAGCTGCGGTGCGCCCGCGTAGTGTCCACACCGAGGCCAAGCTGAAGGAGCTAGGAATCGAGCTACCCACCCCGAAAGCACCGCTGGGTAAGTACGAGACTTGTGTGCATGTTCTCAAACCAGGGCTACCTACGCTGCTCCTGTGGAGTTTCTTACCGCAGCATCTTCGGAGTTGACCAGGGTCCCCCAGTCAATAGAACTGCTTTATGTTCAAAGCTAGCTGCCCGCTTTGTTTTATGCATTAATCAACACGACAACGACTATGCTGCCGTTGTCAGGATGATGCGGCGTAATTAAATTTACTGTTGTCGCTCGCGCCCCAGGCAACTTCGTGATGACCGTGCGTACCGGAAACCTTCTCTATACCTCGGGCCACCTTCCGACAAGCCTTGAGGGGGAGACAACTACGGGCAAGGTGCGTGTCTTCACTGACAGCCTCTCCGCAAATCTATTAATGCTGCGTCGTTGCACCTGGTGTTTCCACGTACACAGGGTACCTGTCACGTGCCGAAATCCGCCGCACCGTTTCCCTTCGCGATCGGTCGCCGGTGCGGGATGTTGGGATGTTGGGATGCTGTGCAGTATGGTTGGAAGACGGCGGCAAGTGTCGTGTGGTGTTGTGGAGTTGGAAGTATGGTGTATGGTATCCTGGTGTGTAGTGGGTGCCATGCAGGGGAGGAACACAAGGTGATGGTGGGGGGTTCACACCCTATTCGCCCACAAACGGTCTAACGTGTCCTGCATTCTATGCATACTCGTGCGTAGCAATGGGTCTAATAAGTGGCAGCAACCTTTTTGACAAGGCCATGTTCAGGGCACAGCATTGCGAATATGTGAAGGAACCGGTATTGCTGTCAGCAGTGAGTTCATGAACTATCTCAAACTACAAGAACATGATCGGTAAATCCGTAGCAGTGATCGGGTTGGCTTAGCGTTTCTTGCACAGAGGACCACCTTGTGATGTTACCGGCTACAATAGGCAGAGCAACAATTCGACCCAAGTACCCACTACTGCTGTGTCTCCTCTCCCCGAAAGAACGTAATGACTTGTATCGAGTACTCAGAGAAGTAGATCGAAACGTGTTTTTAGCTGATGTTCCCCGTGACATGTTCTCGCGCACGCTAACCAGCGTGTGTCAAGTTTTCAAAATATTTCAATGCACAACATGCTGTTCTCTCCTTCTCATAACATCCAACGGCAGTAGAGTGATGCCATTAACTTTCTCCAAACACTGGCTAAATGTTGTAGGTTGGGCAAGAATTGAACGAGGAGGAAGCGCAAGAGGCGGCACGCAAGGTCGCTATCCAGCTCATTGCATCCATCAAGAGTGAGTGGTGTAAAGTCAGTCACAGCGGGTGTCGTGCGAAATCCAACTAAATTACCAGCCTGCTGCCCTTTTAGACCTGCACCTTCTTCGTCCCATCAGAACCGAACGAACGTTGATTGTGATTTCCCCTTGCTTTCGTGTATACAACGAAGGTGCCTGGGCGGTTTTGATCGCATACCCTTTTATCGTGTACCTGTTACAGCCTGTGGCAAAGACGATGTGCGTCTATTTACATAAGTTGACTACAGTTGACTAAACCTCGACCGCCGCCAATAGCCGTTGCTGCTACCTCTGCTGCTACCGTATTTACATCATGCACCGTTGGCTTGCTTTCTCTTTTTTCCGTGCGGGGCGGGGGGACATTTCGCCGCACAGAGGACTTGGGCGATCTGGACCGGGTGACGCGCATAGTGAAGCTGGTCGGGTTCGTGAACTGTACGGACGGGTTTGCAGGGCAACCCAAGGTGGTTAACGGTGCCAGTGATCTCTTCGCGGAGGTGAGTGACGCTGTTGGTTGACTTCAGGCAAGTCATGATGTCGAACACGTCTTTAGGGTTGTCGGTTTTGCCATATGGCTTGCGTGCTACATACAACATTAATTTTGTATTTGTGCAGAGATGCTGCGTGCGAAAATACGATTTTAGCCTTGTGCAGGTTCAAACTCTCCTGATTGTTTATTGCAGGGATTGGTTGTGTTCATCATGTAGACTATTTCCGGAACCCCGCTTGTGTGACGCGAAGCCTTGAACAAGAACGGCAAAACAAGTGACAATCGATGACAGACGCTGGTTGACTGTCTCTCCTCCTTCCTCCTGTGTTCCATCGATGCCATCTCGACCTGAATGCTAACGCTGTCGTCTTGGTTCTATCATTGACCCTATTTCCTCTGTCGGTGTAGTCATGTGGGATGCATATATCGGTTTTACAGACAAGGGCCCTCAGTGCCGGTTGAATAGTGCCGACGCCCGGATAGTACCGATAAAATTGCTGGGCACAGACTGAATCGCCAAGTAATTCAGTACATTGAAAATGGTGCCGGTCCCTCTGAATACTGGTCTGGTCCATACGTCCATACCGGCACTACTGAGGACCCCCCACTATATAGAGAGGGGGGTGGCGTTTCTCAAGTGACGCACCCGCACCATGTACTGCGGTGCCGTTGTCACTGGAGGGTAAACCGTCCCCAAACAAAATGCGGTGTATCATAATTTGACTAATCGGTGACCCTCGCTGAGCATCTCACGGTGTCTCGTCGTCGTGATTGGCCAGGTGTTTGGAGAGAGGGGGGTGCACTCCAGGTCTGCCGTGGGCACGAACGCCCTTCCGATGAACGTCCCCGTGGAGATTGAAGCTATCGTGGAGTTTGACGACAGCCGCAAGAAGGGCGATGACGACTGGACGGTCCTCAAGCGCCCGTAGTGGTTTTTGTCGGTAACATCCGTACCCAGATTGCTACCTCTCTCGCTCCGCTGGTTTCGAGCACCACTTCCTGTCGGGCAGCCCCCCCCGAGTATATGTTGGGAGAGAAGCAAAACGTGGTCGTACGCATGTTACTCTGGTATGGTAAGATGATGTTCTTAGTGGTAGGCGGCACAGACATGTGCGTAGGCTTGATTTTCATCGATTTTGTTTTTGGTTTGCTGCGGACGTGCTTAAGAGAGAAGTGATTCGTTGGTTTTCATTGCAACGACGCAAGTCCTGCGCACTGCCCCCTCCCCACCCGTTTTGCCTTACAACAGAGCTGTGCATTTGCTGTGGTACACACGCTCATCCTCTCTGAAAAACTCCTTCCGCTTGAACGCTCATCTCTCCACTGCTGGCTTTTTTTCGGCACCCTCCCTACGGACTGACTGCATAGTAAAACGCAACTACTGCTGTATCAGACGCACGTTCTCTTCGGAAAGGCCGGAGGGGCGCTTGCCAGGAGACAGCAGCCATCGTGGGCACCACGCCGTGTATCTCTGCCGTTTCGTCCTGCTGAAGGCACGTCAGTCGCTGCTCTCCAGCCTAGCTGCCTCGCTATTTTCTCGGTATCGTCGAAGTTAAGGTTGCCACGGCACCGTAGCCGACGGGGCCGGACCGGACATTTACACACGAGTCTCTCGCGGTTCGACCTACTCTCTGCTTGGGTGTTCGAAGTCGGCTGGACGGGTCTCCAGGCCGCTGCGCGCGCGCGACTTGTTCTTGGTCGGTAGAATGTACCAGGCGCCTGGCACGCCCCCCTTGAGGTTGCTGTTCCTCTCTCAACCCCCAAGCGCTTGCTTTCCGTTGGACGTCGTCATTATTTGATTATTTGCGCGTGATAATGCCTCTCTTCTCATAAATTGCCCTGCTCTGCGGGGCTGCCTCCAATCCGAGGCCCGCGTTCCTTTTGATCCTTTTTGAACGGATCGTATTGCGTGTGTGACGGTGTGACCAAACGACGAAAAATAAATCCTAAAAAATTTAACGGGAAAAAACGGGAGCGAGCGTATCTCTTTCTCTTTCGCGGAGTCCTCTTCTTCTACTAAAACTGTACATCATCTCGCACAGCGGATGGATGTTCAGTATGCCTACGCCAGTCAGTGTTCAGACCGCGTGAGGGTGTCTCTCTTCTCATACCGCTTTTAGGCAGGAGGGATGCAGCAGTGTGGGGCTGCCAAAGTCTTCACCCTTCGTCAGCCAGAAGGGTTATATGTCCGAGTCGAAAACCATGGCGATATGCACTGCTGCACTAAGTGCGGCTGTGCAGTAGCCCTGTTGGTTCGTTACAGAATGGACAAAAATTCGCGAAAACAAAGGAAGTTTTGGCATTCACAAACTAGGTCACAAACTAGGCAACCATCCATCAGTCCCACCAACACATGAAACGTCACCTTTAGAGGCGGGTACTTTTGTTGATCACCATACCTTCTGAAGCGATGTAGGTCAATCAGTTAATCGCCGAAACGCCGGGAAAGTACACCACAGCAGATAGCAGGTGGCGTCTGTTCGTTCTTAATTTCTCCACGCGTAATCCATCCAATGCGTTATGTTACATCCCAAAGATAGGGTTCGGCACCAATGCACGGCAAACAGGACACGAAATACTTTTGCTGCATCCGCGAAAAACAAAAGCGTCAATCCGCTTGAGAACACTTACAAACCAGAAATATTCGACACATACATCTCGGTTCTCCTCCGGTTTCATCGGCCAATCATGATTCTTCATGCTTGGCGCAGGAAACTCTTTGTTAGAGCCCGCTCTCGGCAAAGCCTACACAACGGACTGCAACCGTATCGAATCGAACGGGACTCTAGGCTTGCCATGTATGATTGCATGCATCGACCAGACACCAAGTGACGCACTCACGCGGCACATATACTGCATTGACCAATCACAGTGCGCCTCATTACCAACACCATGGCCAATCGGCGAGCCTACGCCGCACATGCGTAGACTGCCTTTTCCACCACGGCCGGTCTTGTTACGCACGGCGTAAGAAGCTGTGGGCGGAGCACTGTCCCAAGGATATCCTCTGCTTTGGGTCGAGAGCCATGCACTTGTCGAGAAAGTCTGCCAGGTCTGCGACGGTTTCCTTCTTGTCTTGGGCACCCTTGCTGCGCATGATGTCGCTCTTGATGGGTCGGGACGGGGCCGTGACGGTCACCAGCCGGACCGTCGTTTGCCCTGCCAACAAAAAAGGAGAAACATAAAAAAGATACGCACATTAAGATTGCCAAGACTAGATGAAGGTCAAAGATGAGACAAAAGCACCACGAAAAAAACACAAAAAGCCACGAGGAAGAGAAGGCCGTGACGCGGGGGGGGGGGTTCTACGGTACAAGTAGTTTACATGTACATGAGGTTAGACACCGACTGTCCTGCGCCCATGCCCGCGCTCGACACTTCGCCGCATGACACAAAAAAACACCGGCCAAACAAACACAAACAGATTTTATCTTCGACTCGTAGACAAAATGAAAACACCCGGCAATCAGCAGTACATGACATGGCGTGGCGCACCTGACACCGGATCCGGTTCCTGCTGCATGAACTGTCCCCCCTCCGTGAAGTGCGGGCGAATGCCTCCCATAGTCTCGAACGCCCGCATGTGGCTCTTGACCATGCGTGTCGGAACGGGGCCCTTGAACTCCATCATCCGTTTCAACATCTGCGAGCAAAATTAACCGGTCAGCGCAAACATGACGATGTCAACAATTGAACGAAGAGATAGGCAAGCTCTTGATGTTCGTACCGGAGTGTACTGTAGTCGGAACGAGGCCCTCGGACTATCTTTCCCATCGTTCGTTAGCTCGGTAAATCGTTCGTTAGCTCGGTTAATCGTTCGTTAGTTGGGTTAATCGTTCGTTGGTTAATCGTTCGTTAGCTCGGTTAATCGTTCGTTAGTTCGGTTAATCGTTCGTTTCAAATCTTGCAAGCACTATAATAGGCAAGGAGACTAAAAGACGAGGGTGTTATTGGCCAAGACTGCTGACCCGCAGCCACGATAAAAAAAAAACACACACACCAATGGCACGCAGCCAGTACAAATCGCTTTCGTCTCGATCGAAAAACCAAGCAAGATAAACGTCCCGTCGTTTTGGTTCTTGCTCACGCCACACCGAGCCAGCTGGCTGACCCACTCACTCACTCCCCCAACGGAAAACGGTCCACCACCACCCCAGTTATTGGACATTGCAAACCTCGCAATTCCGCTTGGACGATAACCGGCATCAAGCTGCTGCTGCTGCTGCTGGTTGCTGAACCATCACATAACCCCGGTGCTCCTTTGTTCCCTCCAAACAAAACCAGGTCGATTCGACCTCTCTCGGGTATCTACATACACCAAACCAGGGCACTGCCGGCCGCTTCCCTCATGCCTCACCTCGTTGTTGTTCACCCCGGGAAGAACGGGGGAGCCCTTGTACAGCTCGAACAACGTCACGGCCACGGACCATAGGTCGATGGCTTTGTCGTACTCCAGCCCCATCACGATCTCCGGAGCGCGGTACCAGCGACTCACGAGGTAAGGCGTCGGGTCGTTGTCCGGGTCGGTAATACGGAACGCCGACCTTGTACGGTTTGGAAAACCGGCGGGGAAGGTATGGGGGGGCGAAAGTTAGTGCTGCTGTTACACTCACGGCCTTTAAGAGGTGTCTCCATACATCTCTCGAATGGCGCAAGCGCTGCGCGCTTTGGGGCAATCTGGTGCACTCAATCCTTCACAGAGGTATCTCCATGTCGCGATTGGTGCAACAACTGCTGTTGCGTGTTCTTGGGATACATGGATGCATGGCTTTGGCAAGTCTCCCTCTTGGCAGACAGGGCGCCTATCAATGTCGGAGCCACTTTCAACGGAATCGTGTCCAAGCAAACGAAGCCGCCGCGGAGCTCTCTCTGCCGACACACCCCAAGGCCAACACGCTCTCCTCTTTAGAGAAAACACTAATTGACCCTCTTTCTTTAGACCTCGCTTACCCGAAATCAGCCAGCTTGAGCGAGCCGAAGCCCTGATCGACGAGGATATTGTCGGGCTTGATGTCGGCGTGCACTAGGTTGCGGGAGGCCATGTGCTTCAGCGCCGCCAATAGTTGCTTGCCGTACTTCTGGACAGCGTGGATGTTGATGCCCGTCTTTTTTTAGCGAGTGCAGAGGGAAACAAACAAACGAGAAAAATCAGGCAAGCGAGAACAAAATTAATACACATATATATGGGGGTGTTTTATTTAATTATTTGTTTTTGGGTTTGGGCAGTACATACGGAGGCAAGATCAATTATTTCGGGCGCAAGCGCCTTGCAGTCGACGCTCTATGGCCATGTGCAAAAATCACCAAAGTTGGCGGAACCGAACTCAAGGTTGGTAAGCTCACGGACAGAAGTCTGTCCCCTAGCACACACGCCCACTGATACAACTTGTGGTGAAAAACTCCTTTCTCAACAGCAAAAAAACAAAGAATAGCCTTGGTGCCAGGTGTCAGTCAGTGCAGCCCGGCTTCTGTATGAGCGAAATCGTGTACGGAGGAACAGTTCTTCTACGAATCCTCTCACACTTGCCACTGCTCTGGCAAATCTAATTAATCCATACAATCTCAAGTAATTAAGCAATTTTCGGTTTTTAGGAGACGATATATATTGAGATGGAGGAAGCACGGAGGAAAAACCAAAAAACCAAATAAAGAATAGACAGGAAAAGGAAACACCACAAACGCCGACATGACATGACATGACATGACATGACATGACATGTGTTTGGCGTGGTTGCTACTGTCGCCGATGTAATTAGACGCTGGAAACTACGAAATTACCAGCTGCAATAACCCTGCGTTTATTGGGTGCCTTTTGTGGTTTAGGCGAACTAAAGTAAAGACACATACTGCTTTCAATGTCAATTTCTATGACAATTTTCGTTTTCTATTGAATACTTACGCATGTCGTCCTCGCCCCTCCCCCCCCCCGCCCCTCTCTTGTGTCTCACTTTCCGCCCGAATTTCTTGAGGGTCTCCCTGAGATTCATCTGCATAGACTCGAACACCATCACCACATGCTGCTTGTGCTCCAGGCTGCACAGCAATCTGTCGTATTGGGGTTGGATTGACAAGGAGCGGCACGGCGCACGAGCACAGGGGGGGGGGGGGGGACTCTTATGTTTTGCATGCCTTCCTGGTTAAACCATTGACCACCCCTCCCCCAAAAGAAGGAACATTTTTCCCCCAGGACCTTCCTATTCTGCCCACAGGGGGGGGGGGGGGGGGGAAAAAAAAAAACCCTTAAAAGGGGGGCCCTTTTT